CCTCACACAGTGAGCACCTGAGAGGAGTCACACCGTCGCCTTCCAGGGGGAGGGCAGACAAGGGCCTGGGCTCCCCCATTTGAGCAGGCTTCTCACTGTCCACGTCTCTGCCATGGATGCTGGCTGGAAGCAAGGTGGGGGCAGGTCTGTGGAGGCTCTGGTCTGGCAATGGGGCCTAAGACCTGTGCACAGCAATCGAGTCAAGGAGCCTGGAGTGGAAAAAGGAGCATTAGGCTCTGGGCAGATCCGACAGCCTCTAATGGCTGTGTGCTCTGGGGTCAAATATCCTGAGCACCATAACCCCAGAAAATGGTGATAACACCACCAAACTTACTGGATTCAAGAACACACATACATACATACATACACCTGGACCCACGGGGTGGGTGAGGGGCGGTTTCAGGGAGGTCCTGTCCCCCTGGAATTGAAAATGCCACCTGGGGTCTGGCTCACGAACAAAGCCAGCTGAGTGCAACTGCTGTCCTAGGAAGATTCAGGGGAGCGAGGGGTCCTAGAGCCCCACTTAGAAGTCTTTCCATGGTTCCCTGTCCTCTGAAAGCCTGTCTGGAAGATAACCTAGCAGTGGCCCATTAAATCCATCCCCTTGCTCCTGGTCTGGATTTTGTCCACTCCAAAAGAAGGTAGAGGACTCTAGACATTTTGAAAGCTGGAGATCTTTCTTAAGCCTTTCCTGGGTTGCAACCATAAAATTCCCAACACCTAACCTTGATGTATGCGTCGGATTGACGAGAATGAGCCAAAGGAGCCCTTCATCAAGTGAGCGGGAAGAGTTGTGGTTTACAGTCTGGATTTTCTAGTACAGATGATTCCATAAACCTGCCTGTGATCTGACCCCATCATTAAGGCTATTCTTTGTATACTTCAGATATGGAAATATAGTATTTTGGTTCTGGAGTCTCCAATTTGTCTACTTTTAAAGGCAAACAAACCTTATTTCCAGTGGTTGGTAGAATAACGAGTCCTTTCCTGAGCACCCAGAACAGGGACATGGCCTATATAGAAACACCAGCACCTGAGGCCCTGGGGGCCACGCGGATCTAAGAAAACCTTCCAGAAACTGTGGGACATTATCAATGCCCACAACTTGCAGGCCCTCTGAACATGTTTTCAGAGCCTTCTGATAACAAGGAAGAAAAAAATAATTAATACCCGGGGCACAGGAGTTTCACACATGACTGCATCAGCCGTGAAAGCAAAACTCTTGGGCAAATTCTATTTTCTTGAATGATGTTCCTGTCCTCACTGGATTTATGAGAAGGGGATGGATTTGCCAATGCTCTTCTCCCTGCTCCAGGAGGACAAGAATGCTGGGGACTTTGGAGTCCCTTTTGCTAACACTACAGGCAGGAAGCTTGGCTATCCCCCCCGTACCCCCCCCCCCCCCACCCACCCCAGCCAGCCAGCCAGGTGCGCTGTACATAGAGACTGATTTCCAACCACAGTATCATGATGTATAATGAAAACTAAGCATAGCTCTGGGAGGCCTTGGAGCTACTCGGACCTGTGTGAGACTTTAACAACAAATATTTTCTTATACAATAGGCAGCTTCAAAATCTATCCAACAAAGCTGCAAGCAAGGGACTGTCAAGATAGACAAAGTCACAGATGAATTTCTGAAGTGGGTTAAAGGCAGCCTTTGGTCAACAGAGGAGACAAGGAAGATTTTTACAATTCAGCATTCTAACAATCCCCCCGCCACCAAATCACATGCGACTATTTTTCTCCTCCTCTGGTTGACATTCATAAATGATTCCTCTGAATTCACAGAAGATAGGGAAGTAAAAAGAAAAGCCTAAGTATTGCACCAAAAATAATGCCAAAGTTCCAATTCAAATTTTTTGTGACTTTCACCTGTGATAGTCTTAGCATCATGTTTAGAATAAAATGGGATCAAGGAAATGTTGTAAAAACTGAATTATTATGGGCTAGCAACAAGACTGTGCAGCCCATCGGTCTTAGCCATGGCCAATGCCCATCCTTGCAAAGCACCAAGTCTCACACATGACTCTTACAAATGCACACCTACATATGAAGGAAAGACATGCATTTCTGATGAAACACTCACTGATGGACAGAAGTCTTGGCTCTCCTTACGTCTTGATTTCAATCATGTAAGTAGGGAATATACAGAGGATGACAACGGCCTACCTGTGGGATTCCTGCTCTGACAATGAGAACACTACAAATGAAGCCCAGCTGGTGAACACCGTGGTGGGCCTGGGAGTTCTGCAGGAGTTGAGTGTAATTCAAAGAGCACACAAGTCCAATCCCCTGTGTTTAACGTGCTCACTTCAGTCCGGTGTCCAGTGGTGAACAGGTGGTTCTATTCTTGCATTTAGCTTCCCCCCACCTCCCGTTAAGGGCCTGGCCAAGTGGACTCCTAGAAAGAAATAAAACAACCCAGGGTTCACGTCCAAAGGAAGATCCTGGACAATAAGAGCTATCGCTCAGAGACGCAGCTTCAGAGGGGAGACCTCTAGGGCAGAACCTGATTTGTTGGGTAAGGAATTTTATTTTCTTTCTCTTGGGTGAGTACTATACTCATGAGCTCACTACAGAAGAAGTCCTAGTGAAAATAAGGCCGCATTTATGGGATGTCTTTTATCATCACAATGCTTAGCAGGTCAATAAAATGTTCTAGGCGTCGCTGTATGAGCGGTTGGGCCAAGTCTTTTTCAAACGGTGAAAGTAGACACAAGGAAAGCAGGGAAAGGCCATGGAAGACCAAGAATGACAAAAAAGGAAAGGTATCTAATACCCCACACGGTGCCGCTTATGGAGAGAAAGACAGGAAACATACTTTGCGCATTATGTCCAAAACAAGTGTATTTTAAGAGGGTGGTTTGCAAATGGCGAATGTGAGAGGATTTGCAAATGAATCGTTTCTGATATTAAATGATGCCTCAGATCTGTTTCTACCCAATGAGAGGTCCATTTCCATAGAAACGAGTGGAAAAGTGGGCCAAAGCCAGCAGTATGGTTTCTAGGAGGAAAGGCAGCAGAGGATCGGGCCAGCCACGGAAAGCACTGGTTTTGTAACCACCATGTCAAGAGCTTTTACTGAAAGGGGGAAAAAAAAAGAAAGTTTAAACTCAAAGAGCAGGCACAGACAGTATCTGAGGACTTTGCTGGAAGTTCAGACAAAGCCACAGAGGAAAAATGGTCTCATGTGCTCTGTGCTTTTCGATGTCGCACAGGACAGTCAGCCCCCGTGTGCTAATAGGTGTCTCCTTCTAAGCTGGCCTTGGAGAAGGGAACACGCTGCAACCATCTGACTGAGCTATGAGTTAGGAGTGTTCAAAGGCCAGGCCCAGTTCTCCCAGAGAATGAGCTGGGAAAACACTCCGCGATGTGGGCCAGGTGCACAGGAAGGAGAGTCGGGGCAGACTGTGTCTATGATACTGTGATATACTTGGGCACTTGGATACTGTGATATACTTGGGCAATACTGTGATATACGTGGGGAAATGAAACAAACTCCCCTACTTGCAAAGAACATATACGCTCTACCTGTGTTTTAAAAATGCCTCTTTGATGGGCTCTCAAAGTGTAGGCGGTTTTTGCAAGGAGCACCTCTGTTGTCGCAGCCCTTTATGAGAAGGACGGAGCTGCTGAGTGGACCCCATGTGAATGTGGAGCTGGGCGGGGGTACCCATCACAGCCGTCTCCCCCAGTCCCGGTGCCCGCGGAGCGAATGCAAGTGGCCGGGCGCCCGGCCGCTGCAGCCAAGTCTGGATGACACTCTCAACCAAGTGGTCACCAGCAGCCCGGAGCACAGGATGTGACCCCGGCTTTGCATGATTCATCTCACCCCCTCACCCCTGCCCTGGAATTCCTTTGCAGAAAAGAAAAACATGACACTTCTAGGGTGAAAGATTTCCTTAAAGGGGGAAAAGACATTGAAAACTCTGCTCTGTGAAATGAAGGAACAGGAGGATTTCTTTTGGCAAATATTTAGATCTCTAAGCTGAGTACCAGCCCCTTGTTAGAGGCAAAAAAAAAAAAAAAAAAAAAAAAAAAAATCCAGCTCGGTGGGGGTAACCATCACCACGTGCACACACAAGGACGATCCCGTTGGTCTCCTATGGCTCATCCGGGGATCTGCAGAAACAGAACGTGGGTCTGTACACCCTCTAAAATACCATCTTCCCTCTCTTCTCTTGTCACTGCAGAAAGTGCGTCCGCACTCCAGTCTCCCTAAAGTCACCTGAAGAATACTGTGATTGCTTACAAATGGTGAAAAATACCAACATGATGCGAAGAAATGAGCATTTTACAGAGACTCATCTTTGATGGACTTTCACATGAATTATTTTATTTAAAACAGGAATCCATCAGAGGTGGTGAACTATCAGGGTAAGTAAATGTTCTAGAGCATGGCACGGATGGAAGGTAATACTCACCAGCACCTCACATGGGACTAAAAGACAATGTCAGCCACACAGCACGGGGGGAAACCGACACAATGTAGAAGGCACCTGGCTGGGAGAGAAGCCCGGTGTGCGTGGCCCGGGAGCAGCCCCGCTTCTGTGCACTGTGGCCGGTCAGGATAGACGACATTGGGAACGAACGGGACGGGTTCTGACCTGAAGCCCTGGAGCCTCTGTGAACAGTGACCCTTTGCTCAGACCGGTTTCCTCCCACCGCGGGTGGTGTAAGGTCCTCAAGAGGGGACGGGTTTGCGAGAGAGCGACACAGATGCCCTCCTCCCCTCCTCCGGGGAGGGAAGCGCCCTCCTCAACTCAACTTCAGCAGTGGCTTCTAACTTAAAATCAAATACTAACGACGATAAAATAGAAGGCAGAATGGGGGCCTGAACATGGACCCATTGGTCCAAAGGGAGAGGCGGATTCGTGAAAATAAAGACCGGTCACCAGTCTGCACGTGCCGCGAACGCCCGTCTCTGGCCCCATGACCACAGGACACACCAACGCAGGGCTGTCCTGGGCAGCGGGGAGGGAGCCCCCACCCGGCCAGCACTCCGCACACCTCCCAGTGACCACATGGCAAGTGCTGAAGTTGGAAGAGACCCTGAATTGGCAAAGGATCCCAGGCAATGAGCTGCCCAGGGTGGCCGGGTCTATGGGAAACAAGACTCACGCTCTCAAATAATGACCCCCGAGCCCCCTCTCCTCGTCCCGATGGCACTGCGTGTTTGCCCTCCGCACGGGGAGGTCCACACCATCCCGTTTCCCCTCTCAGTTCTAGGCACTCTCTGGGACATCTGCGACGAGCCAGGCATTTTTTCATTTCTTTCCCACTCCGTTGGTGACTTTTGACTTGGAATGCCGATTCCTTCTTCTGGAAGAGTGGCTCTCGTTGTTGCCTGGATGCTTGGGTGGGCTATCTTCAGAACCTGGCCAAAGGAAGGAGAACACGCCATCACCATGGCTGTGGGGGGCTGGGGGCTCACGCCTCAGACTCAGAGACTCCCTGCTCCAGCCATCTGCCGTCTGGGGCCTGCCCGAAGTGCGGGCTCTTCTGCTGATACTTGCACTCCATCTAGTGGCCTGGTGAACACAGGATGGCAAGGCCCAGAAGCCCAGCACCAGGCTGGTACTGCCTGCCTGTGCAAGGAGATGGGGGGGCGGTTCCCTGAAGAACTTTTACATTCTCGCTGTGTAAGGTGGATTGCACTCACGACAAAGGGAGAGGACAAACCAACTCAAAGCACAAGGAAGAACAATGACACCACATGGGTGTCGAGTCTACTCTCACAATCAAGGGAGGCATCACCCAGAGTTCTGTGCCCTGACGGGTGGATGCACTAGAGTTTCTACATCTCCCCCCGGAAGGATTCCGGACGCTACAAAATTAAGGCTCTTATGACCTCTATCGTCTGAGCCACTGAACAGCTTTAAAAACTGGGCCCCTGCTGCTCAGGATCCCTCTGGAGCCTCCCGCAGAAGATGCCACACACCTTCGAGATGCTCTTGGGCTGCAGGGACAGCACCGTCTCAGGCACGCTTACTGTTTGTCTGGGACCTCAGAGAGAAACTTCCACATCAGCCGGATGCCTGAGCAGCCAGCAGGGGTCAGCCAGGTGGAAGGTGGAAGTAGGGGAGGTGGCTGGGGGTGGGCCTCCCAGGGAGTGGGGTGTGAGCGAGGCTTGGGAGAGAAGCAGAACTGCTGGGCATCAGGCTGCCTCTGTCCTAAGGCGGAGCACATGGCCGCCCTCCAGCCCAGCAGTCAAGGCAGACAGTTCTCTGCTCCAGGGCTCAGATCCAGGCCCTCCACCACCAGAGCCACTAAAAACATAACAAGTTCCCAGATTTTGGTCTCCATGGCAAGGGCCGTTTGGCTTAGTCCAGTGGATTCTTTCACCACACTCAAGTTCTTTTTTTGAACTATTTTATCTACCTTTCATTTAAACGTATCTCTACCACTGCTTCCTTCCTGCAGTCTTCTTTTCAACAGAGAAGGGCTTCGAAGTGCCAAGAATTGATCTGTGAGGAGACAGTTCTGAATGAGGGAGCCCCTTGGCCCACTACTATTAGCATTCCAGAGCAGGGTACCCATCGACACGGATTCAGGACTTGCAGAAAGGGCGCCCGGCCACTCAGCAGAGGGCATGCTCGCCTCTTCCCTAGAAAAAACTCTGAAAAGCTTGGCCCCAAAAAACCTCACGAAAGCAATGCCAGTGGCAGTGCTTTCCTCTTTGTGGGACAGTGGTTCCTCTGAGCAATTCTGTGAGCTTGAATTCATGGTCTCCAGCATGCAGAGTTCCCTCCCTTTGGCCAAGACGTCCAATCGGCTCATGAGAACTGACCAGAGAGGACTGTCCAGTGGTATCTTTCCACAAGCCTCCTTCTTTAAAACAGCCAGGTGGCCTCAAATCTTTCCCAAAGGCTCCCTACAGAGGCCAGTGGGAGATCCCTGGCTCCACTCCCAAAATCTCTCTTATACTCATCTGCCTCTTGAACAAATACACTTAAATCAATCCACCTCTTCTGAGAGACCTCGCCTCCTGGTTTGTAATTCTTCCTCTTTCCACTCATGATCAAAGTCAGGAGGAAGAACATTCCCATCAGGCTGCCTGAGATGGGGGCAGGCCCCGTGGTATCTTCCCGTCTCAGAAGAGGCAGAACCACACGGCGCCTCTTCTCATGAGACCAGTCTTTTGGGTAGACCCCGCCAGTACCCTGCAGGTTTCATGAACAGGTAATGGATGACATGTGATGGGCAGGTCTGAGAGACTTTGGGGTGTACATTTATCAACATTCAGAGGATAAATACTGCTTTCAAATCTCCTTACTGGGCCTCAGGGAGGAAGAGAACCCAATACAATTTTTAAGCAATGAGTAAGAGAGAGATACCTTTTGAGCCTTTCCCATGAGACCAGGAGATGTCTGGACTGTAGGTGCCATCTTCACACTCTGAGTACGTCTAGGGAGAGAAGCGGACTTAGTGATGGAACTTCAAGTACTCCCCGGGGTAGGGGGGTGAGGGGATGAGGGGGAGTGATGGGGGCAGGCTGGCAAGCCAGGCTGCTCCACCCCTGCATCCCCGGCAAGTGGCAGAACCTCCTCACGCTTCTTTTTCTTCGCTATAAAACCACGACTGTCTCCCAGGGCTACAGTGTCAATCTTCTAGAAAGTACTGTCAGTTCCTCAGACTTAGGGTGTAAGTCAAGGATGAAAGCCGTATTTTACTGAAGAAGATATGACACGTTGAGGTAGAGTATCAACGTAGCACAGCGTTTTCAGGCCGCTAACTGTAATCCCTGTGTCTTCTATGAGGCCGGCAGGGCAGGCATTTGAGGAGGGGGAGCCCCAGGCTGGATCACAGAGAGACACACACAACGTCCAAGAGCCAGGAAGAAATCCCAGTCTTCCAAACACCAGTCCAGGGCTCTCTGTGTAATTTTATTTTTTTAAACAGACCCATTAACAGGGTCTTAAACCCCTTGCAAAAGGAGGATAGAAATAGTGACCGACTGAGCAGAACACTCGCAAGCATGGGCAGCCACTGATAGGGGACGAATCCTGAACCCGTTATGTTTCTGCCGTGGCCAGGACAGAAGGCGTGTGTTCCCCATGATGGCCACGCCATGTTCTCAGATGAACGCCACCCCTGCCCCCACAAAGCTCCAAGCAGGACATGATCATTTTAAAGAGGGGCCTTTGCATACCTTTTCTCGGTGACCATAGTGCTCAGCGTACCAAACCATGCCATAGAGACACAGGAAAGTGGTAAAAGCCTAGAAGAGAAAAACAAGCACACAGTGTGGCACCAAAAAAATCCCATTTCCCGGGATTTCAGGGTTTCAACCTGTAACACATACAAGATGGCTTGTATCTCTCCTAGGACACTAGAGATCCTCGTGACTACTAATGACGCCGATAATCAGAATGCAAGATCATTTCTCGATGGCGGATAAGATGGGAAGCATTCTCTGCACACTCTGCAGGTGCTCCTTGAGAGGGCATATAGGATTTTATATACTTTGTCTGGTTCTCATGACCCTTCCTCTGCCACCAGCACTTGGAAGTTACGAGGACTCAGCTGGTCGGCTTCTGTGGGGGAGAGGAGCTGTAAATGAGAGAGGAGTTTCCCTGGGTCTGGGATCACAGTGGCTCTGGAGGGCATGGAGTCCGCAGTGTCTGAGTTGGGGGCAGGCACTGCGGGACACTCTGCCTGTGGCTCTGCACCGCTTTCTCAGCTCCTTTTTTTGTCTCCATGGCCCTGCCTCAACCCCAGTTCTGGATGTTTTTGTTTTTCTCCTGTAAGTCCACAGGAAAACACGGAGAAAACAAAACTGCTTTAGAAACAAGCCCCCGAGTGAAATGGGAAGGGAGCGGTCTTCGGGTACCCAGAGGCAGGGATAACTTCTACTTCCCCAGACAATTCCCCACCCACCTTGCACCACACCCTAAATTATACTCTAATTTAAGCAAAGAATAGCACCTATGGAAATCCAATGTCTTCAAATATGCCAAACCACTAAAAACCAGGGAGAACTTTCTGGTTGTCTTGTTGGGAGCACCTGAAGGAGACGGGGAGAGTGAGGGGGAGAGTGAGGACAGATGAGTTCCCCCCAGGCCCTCCAAGGCCTGAGGTTCCCACCCTAAGTGAATCACCAAAATAAAGTGATTGTCCCTCCCAGTCCTGTTTCTTCAGAATGCCTTGCCTTAGGTACTCACTGACACCAGAGCACCCTCATTGTCTGACCACTGTCTCTTCCCCTGCATTTCCTGTTGGGGACTGTCACCTTGAACCAACCATAAGAACAGTTGTAAAATCAGAGTAGAACATTCTCTTCTTGAGTCAGTTTAGTTCTTTCTGAGAATCGTAACTTTAGATCCCAAAGGGCTGCCTCAGATAGCACTCATTTCCACTCCTCTCATTTCACAGAAGAGGAATGAAGGTTCAGAGAGGTGAATGGCCTTTTCAAAGGCACACAGCTAATATGTGGCTAACTGGGGCCTGGACGCAGGTCTCTTGGTATTCCTGGATCCTATATTGATTTTATGTCTGTACATCCTCACATCTCTATCCATCCGTCCATCCATTTATCCACCCCTGGAGAAAGAAAAGCATCAAGGAAACAGCCAGCACCAGCAGCATCCCCCTGCACGGCCTGGACTCCAGATCAGAGCTGAGCCCGCTAGGAAGGCGGGGACTTTGAGCTCTCATCAGTTCTCATCACCGCAGTGAGCAGTCTGGCTCTGGCCCAGATCCTGTCAGTCAACCACATTTACGGAGCATCTGTTGGGTACACAGCATCACCTTAAGTGCAAAAAAGACAGGAGTCCCAGGGCTCTGGAGGGCCTGCATCCACGTCCATGAAGTGGGAATACTGGTGTGGTGGAGACAACATGAAATGGAAGACCCACTGGTTCATTTTATTTTAAAGCCATATGCAAGAGGGCATACGTCCACAGGTGAGGGATTTAAAGAAAAGAAAGCTCATATCCTCCCCCATCAAAAAGTTAGACAATGAATGAATATATTAAGATGATAAAATGAACATAACGCCTAAGCTTTAGCATATTCTAGGACTTGCTCAAGATTTCTAATATACACCACCATTAAGTGTACCACTTGGGGGGAAAGAGTGGGGAAGCCTAGAGGATTTGCATAGTGTCAAACTTAAGGATGTGCTTGCTCCTTTACAAAGAGCAAAACAGACTGTCCTAGGTTTGGGGGTGGGAGTTGGGGGGGTGGGCAGGTTCCACCTCCCCAGACCAGGAGTTTGGCCAGATAGCTGTCCTCACTCCACTAGCGTTAAGGGGCAGTGAGCACGGGGATGGCGGTCATTGCAAATTCTGCCCACTAGAGGGCAGGAATGTGGTGCTCCACCTTCCCCAGCCTTGTCCCTGGTGGGGGTGGAGGGGGGCTGGTGGGCGGGCAGGGAGGGGCAGCTGGGGCTTAGCAATTTGCGGGCAGGCAAACACTGGCAGGTGGTGAGCGACAGGTGCTTATCATCACAATCGACACACAAAGGGCCTGCTGTGGTGGCCAGATTTATCACTTCACCTGGGTACTTAGAGGCCCACTTCACACTTGTCCCAGGAGACAAAGCTTTTTAATTTATAGGTTTGCAATCACATCTGCGAAAATCTAGGTGTGTATCCACTTAAAATGCCAAGGCCTGGATTTAAAATAGCAATTGTACAGATTTTGTTTAAAGAAAGAGCAAGGAAAAAAAGACAAAAACATGTGGGATGAGGGCCAAAGCAGCACACAGCCGGGGGATGGGGGGGGGGGTGTGTGGCGGCAATCAGGGCGTGGTCAGACCTGGCTTGGCTTCCACTTGGAGTACCGAGCAGGCAAACTAAGGACGACTGCTCAGACAACTGCCTAGGAGCAGCAGACGCGAACTCTGCGTCTGCGATCATCTCAAAGTCTGGATCTGTCCTCCTACCAAGCAGGGGTAATAATCAGGGTCTGTCTTTCTCTGAGTAGTAAGGAGGCCTGGCCACACCTAACTCTTACTGAATAAGGTTCACCTCCTTCCTGGGTTTCAGATCCATCTTGATGGTTAATAAAGGCCCTGAATATGGGCAGTGGGGACCCCTAACCAACACAGCCAATGGCCTCTGTTCAGGCCAGGTCCCCCTCTGTGGCACTACTAACACTAATAACACTCATCAGGGCAGTCTTCATCTTCAAAGTCCTGATCTCCTGGGGCTGTTTCTCAGGCCGGCCTCCTAAATGCGGCTGCTGCTCCAAAGAATCCCATCCTTGGCCAGTTTTCCTGCCCCCGCTCTGTTCCCCTGACCTAATCCAGTGGTTCCAGCCTCGCCCTGTGCACCAGTGGCCCTCACCTCCTGCACCTCCACCGCTGATGAAGTCTTCCTGTGTTACTGGACCGACTGGAATTTCCAGTGATACAGGACATCTTTGCCTCTAAGTTCTAAGGGTCCCTCAAACCCCAAAGCCCTCATCAAATTCATCTTTCCAACTCAATGGGCTTCTCTGATATCCCCCAATCTGTGACTAACCCCAAAAGCCACCCAGGGGCACAAACTAGAAACCCTAGAGTCGCCCTCATGCTATCACAAGGAGCGTGGTGACCTGTGGAGCTGACCTCTTCAACAGCTCTCAAATCCAACCTTCTGTCATTTCTTGCGTGGGACCCTCAGTACTCTCAGACAGCACCTCTCCTCACTCCAGACTCTCCCACCCCATGCAGCCTTTCTCTGAGAACCACTGTCTTCCTACTGAATGACTGTCCTTGGATCTCCAACTACAGACACACAAGTGTCCTTCTGAAGCAGAAGTCCCTTGTTCCCTCCCCCCACCTTACTCTCCTCACTCTCACTCCCCCACGGGGGAGCTGTTTTCCTGAGATGCTGGGCACAGGCGCAGATGCACATCTTTGCACATGCCTCTCAGCCTGCCTGGATGTCTCTCCTGGTCTCTATCTCTCGAACCCACTCCTTCATTCTCCATGCATTTGCCCAGTCCAATGCGTCAGAGACTGCAGGTACTAGAGTCAGTGGGGACAAGAGGACAACAAAAACAGTCTTTGTAAGCAAGAGGTACAATGCTGAGGAGACGATGTAAAGAACCCAAAATTATGTGACACTGAGTCTCGAACTCAAAGAAGTATGTGCCAGGTGTGAGCAGTTCCCCAAGGGGAGTTGACCAGCCCGCTGGCAGGGTGCATTTCATGGAGGGTGGAACCGAAGTCTGGTCTTGGCATTCATCTCTGGGTAGAAAAAGCAGGGGAAAGCATTCAGATGAGGCAAAGAAAGCACCCTGGGTGAAGATAAGAGAAGTCTGGAAGGGTGACTCATTGAGGTGACTAAGAGTCGTCTGCGGTAGCCTGAGAATCAAGTTCAAGAGGGTGAGTATGATGAGGGCTCCCGATGACGACCGTCCAAACACACACAGAAGAGTTCCCATTGCAGCTGGTAGGTTTTGTGACTGGGATTCTTCTTCCTTCTTGACACTTCTTTCTACACAGAGGAGCTTTGCTGGTATAATCCTGCCTCTCTCCACCCCTGACACCTTTCCCTGGAGAAGAGTTCTCTCTTCACTGATGGCTGAATCTGAGATAAGGAAGCTGGACATTTCCTGTCCTTCCATGGGTGCTAGGCCGCCCACACCTTATGAGGAGACCTGCTTCCTGGGGCCTGAGAGTGCGTCTCATTCTGGGCTTCACTCTTCAGAAGCCCCTTGTCGCCATGCTTCGAAAGCTGATGCTGAAAAATGTGTATCCTCAGTAAGAGAGATGCTAGGCTGATCTCCACAGCCTTCTCTCACCCTATCCTTGAACTATTCTGAATTGAAAAATGTTGTATTACTGGGCCTTCTCCAGCCCCCGAGGACAGGGAATGGTTCTGAGGAGGGCAAGAGAGTCAGGTCTGAGTCCCAGAAGCTGGTGGGGGGGCAGCGTAGAGAATGGGGCCGAGGGGCAGAATGCGGAGGAAGTGCATGTCCAGACAGCTGCAGGGACAGCGGGGGTGGGGAGAAGGGGAGGGAGCTGGGTGGACAGAACCTGGTGACCCGCTGGTTTCAAGAGGGGCAGAGGAGAGGAAGCAGCCCTTAGGTTTTTAGCTGGGGCACCTGAGGGCTGGGAGGGCATCCACTGCAACCCTTCAAAACCCTGCTCGCATGGTACATCCTGGGAGACTTCGGCAACTCACCAGCTCGTGTGGTGCTCTCCGTCCAGTGCTCCCTTCAGCTCTAGGTACACACACTTCGTACTGTTTGTCACACAGGAACGTGGTTCGTTTGCACGGATCATTCCCATTTGGACCTGGGGATCCTTGAAAGGGGGAGCCTTTGCTGGGGGGACAGGAACTCTCTTGCCAGATCATCTGGATGTTGGCCCCAGCTCTGCCCTCACCATCTGTGTGACCTTGAGCCAGCTCGTGAACCTCTCTGGGCCTTTATTTCATCTATAAAAGAGGGCTAATAAAGTGCCTCCCCTCCAAGAAATCCTCAAACGTGCCATTCATGAGAAGTGAATGGCCCCCAGTGAGCGTTAGTACAATCTTATCCTGGCCAGCTGTCTGTGGGTGGCTTCAGAGACCGCTCTGAGGAACACTCACTAGGTGTGAGCAAATGACAGACTTACAAGGACCACGCTAGGTGAAGGACAGACCAACGCGTGGACAAGATGTGGTTCACCATGTCCTCGATAAAGTGACAATCACACAGACACCAAGGCAAACCAAAAGTGACCGACGTAAGGGAGCGTAGGCTAAGTGCCAAATAAGTAAAATAGAGAAAAGTCTCTAAAACTTAAAGAGAGGTTGGAGGAGCCCCGCAGGGCAGGTGACTAGAGAGGGCTTCCTGGACACGGCCTTGGGAAGGCCTTGCTGCCACTGGTGCCCCAGGGTGGGGCTGTACATGGATACTGTGAGAAGGGTGCTGCCCCCGTCCTGGGAGTCCTCCTCCTGCCTCAAGCTCTTGGCGGTCCCCAGGGCTTTGCCACCAGGTGGGGGCAGCACCCATCTCCGCATTTGGTCATCTCCTGCATTTGGTCATTCTACAATTCACCCACCTGAGGCACGTGCCAGAGAGACATGTGAGAAGCACATGGTTAAAATCTCCAGTCTCCTCTGATGTGCTCTCCTAACCGATTCTTACATCTAGTCTCACTGGGATGGAAAAAATACATTTGAACATGAATTCTGGAGTACAGGTACAAAGAAATCATCATTCCCTTTCATTGTTCAAGATAAAACAGGACAGAACAGGCTCAAAGTGCTCTGGCACAGCTCAAATTTCTAATAAGTGACCCTAAAAATAGACGCTGTGAAATGAAAGGCAAAAAACAAAAACAAAAAACAAAAACAAAAAAAACCCCAAAAAACAAAAAACCTTAAAAATACAAAGTTTAGTCATGCAAAAAAAAAAAAAAAGACCCAAATCTGATTAAGCCTCTAGATTCAACTACTAATTTGCAAGGAAAAAAACAAACAACAACAGAGGACAAAGCCATGTGTTAAATCAGAGTACACTAGAAAATGTGAAATCCTGACTCTGGGCAAATCTACAGGACAACAAAGCTCGGTCCTTTGACGAACTGGAAAAGATAGCTAGAGACAGAGGGAAAACGTACATTAAGGGACTTAAAAGGCATGCAAGCCAATTCTAACAAGTGGATCTTGATTATCAAATAAACTGCTAAAAATGCTAAATTTTACAAAATACTAGAAGTCTGAACATTGATTAGATATTTGATATTATGAAATTATTCTTTTTCAGGTGTCACAATGGTACGGTGGTTGCATTAAAGAAAAAAACATTTTGACCTTCTTTTCGGGATGCATCCTGAACTATTAAAGGTGGATCTGCTTCAAAATAATTCAGCGTGGGGACGGTGGGTGGGGAATATAAGGAAACAAGAAATCCATAAGGTGACCACTGTTGAAACTGGACAGTGGATGGGTGACATGTACTTCCACATATGTTTGAAATTTTCTATGATCATAATGAAAGCCCGAGTTCATTTTCTGGACAAAGTAAGTGAAAAGTGAAGAATCTTAAGCTTAAATGTAAAATAAGACTTTCCTCCAAAATAATAAAACAAATTTAGAAGGGTAGACACATGGGGCGCCTGGGTGGCTCAGTGGCTTCAGCCTCTGCCTTCAGCTCAGGTCATGATCTCAGGGTCCTGGGATCGAGCCCCACATCGGGCTGTCTGCTCCGCAGGGAGTCTGCTTCCTCCCCTCTCTCTGCCTGCCTCTCTGCCTACTTGTGATCCCTGTCTGTCAAATAAATAAATAAAATCTTTAAAAAAAAAAAAAAGAAGGGTAGACACAGAATGGTAGGTTAAGATCTTACTTTGTTCACTTTTAATTTAAATTCAATTAATTAACAGAGTGTATTATTAGTTTCAGAAGTAAAGTTTAGAGATTCGTCAGTTGCATATAACACCCAGTGCTCATGACATCATGTGCCCCCCTTAATGCCCATCCCCCAGTAACCCCATCCCCTCACACCCCTCCCCTCCAGCAACACTCTGTTTCCATTGTTTCCTATGCTTTGTCTCCCTCTCTGGTTTTGTCTTATTTTCTTTTTCCCTCCCTTTCCTTATCAGAGAAAGATAATTATGATTTCATTCAGATGTGGAATTTAAGAAATGAGACAGAGGCTCATGGGGGAAGATCTTACTTCATTTTAAAGAAGAGGAAAAAGTCCCAGGACAGTGGAGCTAGAGGCCCCCAAGGGCTTTTCCCTTCAGAGAGGAAGCTCAACCCACAGGGCTTGGCCCATCAGAGTCAGGCTGTGAGGCAGAAACTGCATGGTCTGATTACCTTCAAGAACATCTCACATGACCAATAAACCAGAGTCCACTATCTTGTACATAAACCCTTGTACAGCTATACATATGCTACAGGGCACGGTAACTGTCCTTGTCCCTTCATGGAGCTGAACTCCCAAAAGCAGAATAAAAGCACGTACGGTGCACCTGCAGAAGGCATTTGACTAGCACCTGCCCAGGTGACCCGTTTTGGATGCTGGGTGGTCTCATGTGTTTAACCTGACCTTTAGACTGGTGGCTGGTTTTGGGTTATTACAAATAGAAGGTCCTGTCTGCAAATTTCTAAAAGAACTTGGTGTACAAGGGTTTTCATCATTATTGTTTTGTTTTTTTAAAGAGACACCATGGGGAGTGCTGCTGTCACGTTTGGGTAAAAAAGTAATGACTTACCACACAAAGAAGCCAGAGCACAACATAGAGTATCTGGGTCTTAGAGAAGAGATCTTGCCCAAATTTTATGCACACGATAGCTTCCAGGAAACCGATGACCCTAGTCAGACAGAATGAGTGATTAAATATTAATTCTTCTTATCTTATGCATTATACATATGCATATCAACAGTGCAGCGCTGGGCATATGCATTACCAGAAATACGCTTTATTCCATCATTCTACGTGGGTAGCAGGCTCCCCAGAAATGATACTTGTTCTATTCCATAGCAATTTCTTCAGAAATAACATACATATTTAGATGGCATACAAAGTTTATTTATTGTTATTTTTCTTAAGACTTAATTTTTTTAGAGCAGCTTTAGGGTTATAGTAAAACTGAAGGCAAAGTACAGAGATCTGCCATCTACCTCCCTGAGGGTCACGACCCCTCCCCGGAAGGGTCCATTTGTCACAACTGATGAGGCTACAGGGACGTGTCACCATCACCCAAAGACCACAATTCATGTAAGCGTTCGCTCTTTGCGTCATATGTTCTGTGGGTTTGAACTAATGTTCAGTGATGTGCATGGATCATTACGGGACCCTCCAGGTGAGCCACACTGCCCTAAACCCCCCCATGTTCTGCCTATTTGTCTCTCCACACCTCCCCAGATGTAATGAAGTATTTTTCACATCTTCCTTTCTCCCAGACCAAAACCTCAGCTCCTGGATCTTAATAGCTGGAAGCCTCCATCTCAGCCTATCACCTCGGGGTGAACTGTCACCGCCTCTGTTGGAACCCACTTGTTCTGCCACTCAATCTCTTAGCCATTGCCAAATTTGCCTTGTCTCAGGTGGGTATCTGCCCCCTTTTGCCCAAGGATCCTAACTCTGTCCTCTAGTCATATGGGGCAAGTTCGAGCCTTCCGAGCTGTCTTTCAATGACTTGAAGACAGCAATCCCATTCCCCTCCCAGACTTCTAAGCATTTCCAGATCCAATATTCCCCGTTCCTGCTGACCATATAAATAATCCTTTATCCTCCAAATACAAAAAGTTTAAAGAAAACAATTTCGTTTTACTCCTTAGTTAAAAGAGCAAAGGTGGGGGTGTGGCTGGGGGGTGGAGGTAAGCCCCTTTTACATTCTGCATCTTCACTTATGAATATAAAGATCAGAACTTTACTAAGGTTCAGAGCTTGAAGGTAAGACCAGAGGAGCTGGCTGTGTGATCCCAGACACGACCCAAGAATGCTGATTTCAGACGACTCCACTTTAGGTGTCCCTCACTCCAGGTGGAATCTGGTCATTCGGTGACCGGTGTAGTCACACAGATATTCTCTCAAAAGGCAAGAAGGGGCTCAGGAGATCCTCAGTGTCCCTACCCATGGGCAGACACCAAGATCACTGCCGTGGGCAAACGTACAGACGGCTCTGAACAACGGAATGCCTCCTGTCTGCCAAAGCAGAAAATCTTAGTGTATCGTTACAGAGTTTGGGGCTCTTCTCCCCTAGCCCTGACCAAACAATGTTTAGGAGTGGTTGGCCTGCATCTCTAAAGACCACCTCCACCCCACACACCCCCCAGCAAAGTATATTCCAGCTGGGATCCAGTGCAGGGCTGAGTGTCACCAGGATGCTCAAGTTTGGACTGTGAGGTGACGCTAGATGGCAGCAGAGTGCAGGCAGGTGCCCGGCAGGGTGGGGGGGGTGGTGGGGGGAAACTTGGAAAGAACACTTAAGCTTTGGCTGGGGCTTCTTGAAGAATCACGAGAGCAAGTGCTTAGCCCAGGAAGTCAGTGTGCTCATCTGCCCTTAGGCCAGACTAAACATCCAGAGTTTACTGTGAGAATTCTGGGTATTCTACTCCATCGAGTCACCTTTCAAAAACACAGTAACTAGGGCTGTGATTCTCAAGCTTTTATGACCCAAGACCCACAGAAACACATTTTTCTTTGTGACCCCGTATGCACGTATATACACATATACACACACACACACACACACACACACACACGAAACTAAAACGGAAGTTCCACAGGATAATTTGTTCCTTTACTTTAAGAAAATGCTAGCAGGATCACTCAGAATGGGTCTTCATAATGATGCGAAATTAAAGACAGCAGAGCATTTCAGTCAATGACTTCAGGGTTAGGATTTGCTGGCTCCTTCATGCTGAAGAATCTTAGCTAAGCCGTGGTCCCTGCAGTGAGCATGTGACCACAGAGTAAAATGGCGTGGCAGGAAGTGAGGGGAAGGGGGCAGAGATGAGGCACAGGGCAACGTGGGTCTTGAGGACCACACTAGGGCTTGGCTTTGAGTCTGCGGAAGGGTTTTAAATGAAAGGCAAAGCAAACGTGACTCAATTCCATTTGAATATGGTCATTCTGGGGGCAGGATCAGGGGGGCTTCCAATTTGGGGACAGGACCAGGGAAGTCTCTGTGGAGGTGTGAGTAGTGGTGGGAAATGGGATCATTAAACCCAATAATCACATGGACCCTTCTACCACCAGTCATTGCCCCCCACCCATCATCCCTGACCCTCTGAGGGAATCCTGATGGAGTCCTTCTGGAAGGCTAACTACCTGATAGAAAACCCAAGTGGCGGCTCCTTTAGGGCTGAGTCCAAAGGCTTGGATACACGGGGAGCCGCTGTTGCTGAGCCTGTCAGCTGAGACCGCACAACCTCCTCACCAAGGGGCTCAGGTGGGGCGCAAAATTCCATCTCTCTGATCTTTATCGGAATGAACTCTGTGGCCAAACTGTGGTTTGATGGGATGAGGTAGGGCTGCTACTCCCTTTGATGCCTCCGCCCATCCTTATCTTTAATCAGCGAGGTTAGAAGGCAGCCAAACACCTGGGCTGCAGGAGCTGCTCCTGCCTGGGGACCGGGCTGTTCTGCTGACTTAGACCTTCTCAGCTCCCCTCCCCTATGGAGCCTGTTCCTTCCAGACACGGTACAAGTAGAGATGCCATTAACGTAGAGTCTGGGGTAAGGAGCTCCTCAGTGAGTGGGACAAGAATGGACGCAGGTACACTACAGAAACTTGAGACACAAAAGCACTGGGCGTACGAGCCAGCCGGTAGAAGCAGAGAAGTTTTCAGTTGGCCAACAAAACCCACTTCAGGATTCTGAGAATGCCATGGCCTGGGTGCAACTGGAATTTACCACACATCCTGCGCCCTGGCAGCACGAGAATACACTGCTGCGATGGCTCATGGTGGGACATTCTCGCAGTGGAAAGGAAACACGTACACACAGGACACATCTACCACACAACCACACAGGTGCCCAGGAACTGGGTTCCGGTTCTGCTTCAGGTGAGAAAAGACACCTTCTTACAAGAAGTGATAGCAGCGCTAGGTTTTACCAGATAGAAACAAAAGGTTTGATTGTATTCCATGAAACTTTCTGACTTCCCAAGAACCCCAAGGTCAAGGTGGGAAGGGTGGGAAGAGGGGCAAAGGGTCCTGGGTGGCATACCCACGACAGTTCTGCTCACCTGTTTTTGCTCTCTATTAGGATTTGGGGCAAGGTATCATTTGGGGAACCAGGATTCAGCTGCTAAAAAAATTTTTGTACCTACTGCCAGAGGTTTTGGGCTGTCAGTGGAGGTGTTTATGAGGAAGGAAGCAGGGAGTGGTGGGATAAAGGAGGATGGGATGAAAGGAGAGACAGTGGGAAAGGGAAATTGGCTATGAAGCTACCCTAGCAGTGTGAATGGAGGTGGGTGGACGGGGAAGAAGGTGAAGGATACAGGAGGCTGTGAACGAAGGTTAGCAGCAGGGGTGGGGACCCGACCGTGTTGGGAGAGGTCAGTATGGGATGAGACCTCCCGCAGAGGTCTGTTCCCCTTGCACACATCCTCCTCCTGGAAGGGCCCTGTGCCTCACAACTGTTGTCCATCTTTCCAGGGGAGGTGTGGGGGTGTGGGGGAGAAGAGGTTGGAAGATGGGGTGCCTGGGTGGCTCAATCAGTTAAATGTCTACCTTCAGCTCAGGTCATGATCCCAGAGTCCTGGGATTGAGCCCCACATCAGGTTCCCTGCTCTCCTTCTTCTGCCACCTTCTCCCTCTCCCACTTTCCCTGTTTGTGTTCCCTCTCTTGCTGTCTCTCTGCCAAACAAATAAATAAAATCTTTAAAAAAGGGGGATGGGGCGGCTGGAAGAACAAGCACAATTATAAGAAACTGTGGAGTGGAGTGACATGGAATGGGCAGCCAGCAGAGAAAACTGAGAAGGAACAAAAAAGTAGGAGGAAAACCAGGCCAGTCGCTGAAGTTTCAAGATGGCAGGTGCTGGGGAGGAGAGGAGAGCTGCAGATGGAGGAAGGACCTGCTGATTTGGGACCGGCCTTGGCCAGAACGGTTCAGCAGGGCACCGGAGATGGCAGCTGACTGTCAAACAGTAGCATTTGGGTAACATGGAGCAAAGGGCAGTTCTTACAGTGAGACGTATGCGGTCCTGGAGCCCCCAGGGCTCTGTAGACTCTTACCCAACCCTCCAAGGCCCCACCCTGGAACTTTCTCCAGAAGGAAAAGTGACGGCTCACATCTCCAACAGCCAAAGCTTGTTGGACACCTTCCTTCAGGGCCTCGTGATCAGACACCTTTTCTTTATACATCAGGCTACTTTTCTCTTACTTGGAAACTCAGTTATGATGAGGGCTGAGTGAGGAGAAAGATGAAGATAAAGATGGTATAAAGTGCACACCGGGGGAATCTGTTCATAGCGGTCTAGCCCTAATGCCCCCACAGAGCTAGAAATGGCGTAATGGGACTTTCTAAAGAGAGAAGGGGCCGGCTTTTTCGCACTACCACTTTCCCCTTGGTGGGGTTCCCATTCTGGAGCCGGATGGAGTCTATCTCTCTGCTGGGTACAGCGTATTTGAGTATAAAAGGCTTAAAAGCTCAGATCTGTGGCATGACTGTGGGAGACCACATTGTAAGTCTGTATTTAGTTACATCAGCAAGCAACTAATACAAACTTTCTCTGGGTATACTATTTACAGAAGAAAAAAGTGCTCTCTTCAGGAGAAAAAATTGTGGAATGGGGGGAATGACACCTCAGGTGGTCCTGTTTGCCTCTTCCCCTCCTCTGCCCACCTCCCCCAAAGCCAAATTCCACTGTCACTATAATACGGGGTGCTCCTACTTTGTTCCCCCACATCTTCGCGCTCTGCTAAAGCCTGAAATGACTCTAAAATTAGTGAAAAGGAAACTATAAAGCAGCTCCTAGTTATTAAAAGAAATGAGACATTTAAACACTTGCTGTTTTGTTTTTGTTTTTGTGAGAGAGACAGAGCGTGAGCGAGTGAGAGGAGGGGCAGAGGGGGGGAGAGAGAGAATCCTCAAGGTCGCTCCATGCTCAGTGCTGAGCCAGATGCAGGGCTCGAGCTCACAACCCTGAGATCATGACCTGAACCGAGATCAAGAGTCAGATACTTAACGGATGGAGCCACTCAGGTGGCCCAACATTTGCTGTGGTGATGATGGATGGAAAAACACATGATGAGGGCAGCAGGAGACAGGAGGAGGAGGGATGGGGCAGAAGAGGAGGGATGACGGCCTCCGAGGGGCAAAGCTGCAGAGAGAAGAGACAAGGCTCGGGCCCTGCTGTTTCTCCTTCCCCAGCTGACGGGAGGTGGCCCTTGCCAGTGTCCACACGCCCAGGTGGATGGCTGTGTGTGATTACTGGAGAGCCCTGTGGTATTTTCAGCATGGCCCACTAGTTCTCAAGATTCCCGAGTCCTGACAGCACCCTTCTGGAAGCTCTCCATTTTCAAGAAGCATAGTGAATAAGCCCCAGAAGCGCTCCTTTGCATTTTGCTTCATTCTATTTGGTACCCTTCAACAAGATGCGACTTTCTGTAGCAGTGTTTTCTGTCGCTCGGGCCCTGCTGATTTTGCCTTTTCTCTCACCACTGGGGATTGTATCTTTTGGTTGCCTGATGAGAAACCAACTTTGCCATAACACTTCCTCTCTCTCAGAGCAGCATCCCCTTTCCCTCAACAGGTAAACAGGGACGGTTGTGTGGAAGATACGTCCGCTGGCAGCAGAGTGAAGACTCCCGCAAGGACTTGCAAATACAAAGAGAAAACCGCATGTGGATGGAAGGTTCCCGTAAGTGGTGGAGGAGCTCTGCGGACAAGGAGATGCAAAACCAATGCTTCTTGTCCTCTTGGGGCAGGCCAGGGAGGAGGAGAGCCCACGTCCCTCTTTCACATGACTCAACAAATGTGCCCTCACGTGGCCTCTGCTCGGTGCATGGTAGTTCTCTCTCCTGTCATGTCACTCAATGGTGGAAAGCTAATCCATGTTATCACCCAATAAGCTACTCTTAGGGTAGGAAAATCAGTTTATATCACAGAATGTACGAGATACAAGGACAACGAGCCTTTGTGCTCTAGGAGGGAGGAAAAGCCTGCCTACAGCTAACTTGAGTAACCCCTCAGACTCTGAAAGGACAGCTGGACACACGCATGTGTGAGTGCGTGTGCGTACACACACACACACACACACACACAGAAAAATGTTTAGAAGGAGTAACAGAAATGTTAACCACAATTATCTCTGGTCCGGTGACTTTTCTAGATCATCTTTAGCTTCTTCTTTTGCCACTTTTTTAATCTATACCTATGTATTGTCTTTTTAACTGGGAAAAAGAAAGTTAACTCTGTTTAAAAATCTGTTGAAAGTAGTAATTTCTTCCCTACAATGGGTATTCATTGAATATTTTTTATGCCGCCACACTCAATTTAGAACCTAGACTAGGTGTTGGATCTAGTCTCTGGGACAGAATAGCACACACGGGTTTGCCGGGTGTCTTCGGAACATCGGCCGCTAAGTGGAAGGATAAACTGTTGGTGATACCTACGCGAAAGAACCGGTTACCTGAGACACTGAAGATGATCTCACATTTGACACTGCGGGGCTAAACTAGATAGCCTGTGATCTCTTTCAAATCGTTTTTCTTTCTTTCAAGATTTTATTTAAATTCAAGTTAATTAACATAAGGTGTGGGATTAGTTTCAGGTACAGAATTTAGTGGTTCATCAGCTGCATGTAACACCCAGTGCTCATTAAAACAAGTGCCTCCTTAATGCCCATCACCCAGCTACCCCTTCCCCCCATCCCCTCCCCTCTAGAAACCCTCAGTTTGTTCCCGATAGTTAAGAATGATGTCTCCCAAGTTCTATGCAGAAAATATCTTTTGATTTCCTATTTTTCTTAAAAAGCAGTTTGTCTATCATCTTTTCTATGATTATTTTCTATAATATTGTCAACTACAATATTCTAAACTTAAATCAGAAAGGAGAAATGTTAAAAAATGAAAAGGCCTATAAAAACAACAGTTAAGCCTCCACAGGAAAATTGTACCAAGAGACACTTAATTCAGGGTCAAGAAATAACCAAGGAAACTTAAAAGCTGTTTTGAAACGTGCACAGAGATTACTCACCCAAACACCCAGCACTGTGTTCCTACGCGTTTGCACTGTGTGTCGGTGAGGTAAGCATAGTATTGCCTGAAAGAACAAAGGTGGAATTCATTGAGAGCTTCTGGAAGACCAAGAGGTCAGTATAGAATTAAATCACTTTGACACAGTAAATATAAAAGATATTCTGCCTAGTTCTACATACTCCAGCTGCCTGGTCTACCTCTAGTCAAGGGAACAGGAAGCCGGTGCTGCTGAAACATTCCTGTAAAAGGTTAGGAGTTCGGTTTGGGTTTGGAAGGAGGAGAGAGTTTGGCGTAAAGGGCCAATTATTCTCGAAGGCGGTTTTGATTCGGGGACAGAATGGGCACTTCGAGTCTCTCTGCAAGGAAGTCATTCCAGAGGGTCACGTACACTGTCAGTAATTGTCTCCTCCGGCATTCTCCAGGACAAAGGTTGCTGACTGTAACCCAGGCTGGACACACACACATTTTTGGCTCTCAGGAACTAGAATGGGACCCCGGCTGCAGCTCACTGTTCCCTGAATACGAACGACTTTGAATGCTACTGATGAGATCCGAAAAAAAGAGGCAATGATATGAAGTTGAAAGGCTTAGGCCAGGACCATCCAGTAGATATATAATACAAGCCACAAGTGTAATTTAAAATCTTCCAGCGGCCATGTTAAAGAAAAAGGAATAGATAACATTCGTTCTAGTAACAGACGTTATTTAATCCAATGTATGGAAAATGGCTATAATGAAGTATTTTATATTATTTTTGCACTAAGTCTACAAAATAAGGTGTGTATTTTCCTCACGGAGCACATTTTAACACAGACAAGTGACATTTCCAGGGGTGGCTGTTTAGGACAGCACACTCTTAGACCCTCATAACTACCCCCAAAACTCAATCTATCCCTTTAGAAGCAGCATCTGAAGCAGGAGCTCATCATCTTTTCGGGGTCACAGACTCCTTTGAGGATTTAATGAAACCTATGATAAAGGCACATTAACACACACACACACACAATTTTGCATTAAGCCTCAGGGGATTTGTGGACACCTGGAGGTCATCCATGAACTATCATCTCCTGACCCCAGAGGCCTGAGTGGAGAGTTCTAGTCATAAAGAATCCAGGTCTGCCTCATTACATCTTCATGACCTGATGTGCTTTACCCGTTTAGTGACTCTACCCTCCAATGGCATCCAGTCCCCTAGACTGTGCTTTCTACTACCAGATTCAAAGAATGTTCAGTCAAACATCTCAAAGCAAGAGAGTCAAATCAAAAGGGATGAAAACGGGAGATGTGGTCTGTATGTAGGATTTATCTGGAAGCCTATAAGCTTCCTCTCCTTTTAGGGGCCTGGCACTCGCTACTTGGAGAGGATGTGTTAAGACCCACTAGGAACACCTCCATCTTTCAAAGCAGCTTGTCATATCGTCTTCTTGCATAGGAAATGCCTCTGGTTCATAAAAAGCATAGAAAAAGTGGCTGATTTTTAAACAGCAACAACAAAAGAGTCATGTAGAAATCCACAGGGTTTGGCAAAAAGGTTATGCTCTCAAAAAAAACCCTCAAAATACTGGACATTTAGTCTCTGGTTTTTGTTTTGAGTTGTTTAATGATACTGAAATTTCACAATCCATTAGATATGGTTGTGATTCTCTTTTTTTTTTTTTAAGATTTTATTTATTTATTTGAAACAGAGAGAGAGAGATGACAAGTATGCAGAGAGGCAGGCATAGAGAGAGAGAGAGGAGAAAGCAGGCTCCCCGCTGAGCAGAGAGCCCGATGTGGGCCTCGATCCCAGGACCCTGAGATCATGACCTGAGCTGAAGGCAGAGGCTTAACCCACTGAGCCACCCAGGCGCCCGGTTGTGATTCTCTTTTTTTTTTTTTTAAATTGTTTTTTTTTTTAATATTTTATTTATTTATTTGAGAGAGACACAGTGAGAGAGAGCATGAGCGAGGAGAAGGTCAGAGAGAGAAGCAGACTCCCCGTGGAGCTGGGAGCCCGATGCGGGACTCGATCCCGGGACTCTAGGGTCATGACCTGAGCCGAAGGCAGTCGTCCAACCAACTGAGCCACCCAGGCGTCCCTGTGATTCTCTTTTACAAGAGATTTCTTTTCCCCATTTACTGTCTTCGTTGATTATTCCTAATTTTACGAATGAGCTGTTGCTAATCTTTCTTGAAGATCATTGTGAGCCCCAAATGAAATTAAATTTTAAATGAGAGATGGAGGTTCCAAGCCACCAAGGGAAAATAGCATATTTACAAGAAAAGTACTTCAACAGGCCACTGGTCTGTGACACGTCAGAACGTCGCCTGCCTACCAACTGCTAGTTTCTCATTCGGTTCACAATGAATGCCCGAGATGGAATTCTGGGCCCTTAATTCTGCAGGACTCAGTTGTATCTTACTAAGTTTGCTCAATCCAGGATCTGGGGGGAACTATATATAGATAGATGTAGATATATAAATATCTATACAGATATATAGCATATATAATTTTTTTAAGTATTTAAAAATATTTTCATATTAAATCTATATAAGTTAATACACAAAATATGTAAAATAAAAAAATAAAAATATTTAAATAAATGTTTATAATGATTATATATAATCTATATCTATACCTATATGCATTTGCTTCCTTTTTGTACTAATTAATGAGGAACAGAAGAGGTGCTGGACAGAGTAAGGAGGTCTGTTAGACTGAGGAGAACACCCACTCTTCTTGGCAAGTGAGGCCCTCTGCTTGTGTAGTTTGCATGCATACTGAAAATGGTGAATTAAGTTATCCCACAGCTTCTGGAAAACTAACACTTGTAACTGCTTAGTTTATATTTGAATCAACTGCGCAGATCTCTTTGGTGTTCTTGCTGCTCAATGCCAGTGCTCCAACATTAACTGTAAAACCCAAATACCGTTAGCTCTAAGTAGGAAGAATGAAACAGAGGAAACAAGGTCTGTCTGATATTCACGGGGATCAGTCTATATGAGGGGCAGTTTCCAAAGAATGTCTCACCTCTGGGGCCCTACCTGAATTGGGGAAACAGCATGAACATCCAAGCTTATGTGAGTTGTCCTGGAGGACGACAGAAAGGACACTGCTAGATGGAAATTAACTGCTCTAAAAGAGCGAGTAAAGTATCATTCTAAAGTAACGTCATTTATGACTTCTGATCAACCATGAAAACTTTCGTATTTTTTGATCACCTCCTTTTAGAAAAAAAGTTCTTTTTTTTTAATTTAAAAATCTTCAAGGGGGGTAGAAAAGGAACAGCAGTGAGGACGCTAAAAAGGTTTGAAGATAATGGCATGTGTGGTGTTCTCACTTCATGTGACTGAGGTATGAGAGCAAAACATTTTCTTCAGATCCAAATATATATTCCTTTAATATTTTCATGGAAAATCTGCTCATTTACATGACTTTCCTTATGCTGAATAGGAGAATACACAGCAGGCTAATGTGCTCAAATGACAGTCACGCTTGTATAGAATTACCTCACTGTGGGAGCCGTGATGCCACCAATAAAGAGAATTCTACACCAACTTAATGGATGACTGGCTTGGAACACAAAGATATGTTTCAAGAAGAAGGTATTCAACTCAGTTAGCTGAAAAAGAAGGAAGCATTAGTCAACCTGATACTGTATGCTTAGTCATAATAATATATTCCTCATGACAGATGTTCTAAAAAAAAATAATTAGTATGCTCAAAGCATTTTTAGAAAATACAGGGGTTCTTCCAAGTCACTAGTGGAATAGTTGCTACTTTTAAACTAAGTAACAGCCAGTACAATATTGACACCAACCAACCGGGGTTTACGGGAGAGGTGCTGGGGTCGGGGAAGGGGTACATGGTGGCATCGGCTATCTGTCATGTTTCCTGGGACGTGGCTGTCACTTGGGTCATGCGAGTGATGTGCTGGAAGAGTCAGGAGAGAGATGCTTTGAGAACAGCAGTAATCATGAAGACAAGTGTTTGCCATGGAACACTTAACGTAGTCTTACAGAAACCAGGCAGGTCGAAGAGATGTAGGACTGCAGCAAAGTGAGCTATTTAATCGCCAAAAGAAACTTGAGAATGAGACGTGACTGGGAATGCATCTAGCATGTGCCTCGGCCAAAGGCAGCTCTTAAAGGTGGGTGTGAGGAACTGCTTCAAGGTTTCATCTACGGGCCGTGGTCCTCTTCCCTGAGGTTAGCATCCCAGGGCAGCTCATCACATGAGGCAGCATGGGAATGTGTTCCCTGCTGAGCCCGCCTCCTGCATTTCCGGTCCAGACTAAGCAAGGAGAGGAGATCAGGGAGGGTCACCGCTTGGAAAACCCACGGATCACCAGGTTCATTTCAGTGACGTAAGACATTGTGTCTTTTCCCACAGCACTGATTTCAAGGGTATAAAATTTAAAAAACGGTCCACTAGTTAACACCACACGTGGAAAGCTGGCCACAGCTTGGTGTTCATGCTCGTGGGAGACCTGGGCTCTGTGGAGCGCGGCCCTTCTAGAAGCACAGAGCTTGCTATCTCTCCCATACAAATCAAAGCTCCTCCTCAGTTCTTGGATTAAAGGAAAACCTATACCGTCTTATATATTACTCTCATGAGGTAAACTTAATCCCCATCCATTTAAGCTTCCATTTTTATACATACGGATTCCCCAAACTATGGTGACAATTTTAAACATTCACATACACTTCTGTTTCTCGAGAAAGTCCATTTACTGAGATGAACATTAGTATTTTCCACGTGTGGACCAGGACCGTGGTCTTAAAGGTGACACAAGCTTATTTTTTCTTATGCGGGGCGTATTCCTTGCATGTGTTCAAAATACAGAGTCTTCCCAAAGACTCTTCAGGCAAAAGCTAGTCTCCCAAAGTTGTAAAATAATTAACCTGGGGACGGGAGGATCAACACAAGAGGCTATCTCTAGAAAACAGAGATGTTTTGTCATCCTTTTCCAAGACCCTCAGCTGTCTGAATCTCTTCAGTCACGTAGTGGGCTGCATGGAAGGGGACCTTCCCTCCACCAACGGCACCCTCCTGGAGGACCCAGGTCCCCAAAGAGCGCCAGCGCCCCACACATGGTGGAGGGCTTCTTTTCTCAGCTCTCTACAAATCAAGGAGAGTGGTAACAGCTGAGGCATGACTCTAAAAATTAGACATTAAACCTAGAATATAAGAAAAAGCCTTTGCATTTGTTCCTCTGGTCCTGAAAAATGATCGCTCTGAGAAGCTATCCAATGCCTAACTCCCCGGGTGACAGATGCCGACCAAAAGCTTCTTTCGGGGAATTTTAAGCTGTTTCTAATTTGCAATTCAAAGAAAGATACTTGAAAATGTCTTCCCCAGGAAGTAAGACCTTAGGCGTGATAACACTGTTCTGTTTAATTATTTTATATGTCAGCTGCAGAATCTTCTACCTTCCGAACCAGCCAGCTGCTAAGCAGTGTCAACTAGCATTAACTCTAAATTCCTGGGCGGTTCTTATTTTGCTTTCGTTCCCATTACCTCCTTCCCTCCCCACCCCCGCCGAATTCAGAACATCCGAAAAATACCTGCCAGATGATCATGAAAAGGTATATTCCAGCCACTCTCTGAAAAGACGACTTGGGGTCAAACCATCGAACGTAGGTCCAGCTAGCAGGAGTGAACTGGAGCACAGCTCTTTTAATTTTCCCGGTGGTGGTGTGGATGTCTCTGTAAGGAAGAGAATGGCCCCAGTGAAAATCTGGAGAGATAAAGAAGGGGAAGAAGAAAAAACAAAAAGACAAGAAAAAAAAAACCCAAAAAACAAAATCTGCACTGACAATTTTACACACATGCTCAGAACAAAAAGAATCCTTTCTAGTCGAACCATCTTTCCCACAAGGATCTCTCTACCCATACGACGTGTGGAGAGCTGTAAGCTCGACGGGGCATTTCAGTGATGACAGGCACAGGGCAGAGGTCAGGTCACTGCAGAGCCCGGAGAGGCCTTCCCTTGTGAATTGGTGACAAAAGAGCCTGAGACATCAACGAAAACCACGTGGAACCAAGCCAGGGAGAATGAGGGCGCTGGCAAGGATATACTCCCACCACTGTGCATCTCCCAAGTCAGGGCATTTTAGTCAAAGAGAGAACATGCTCCAGACTTTGAGGTCACCCACGCTGTTTCTTCATCTAAGATAAGTGAACACTTGGGGATGACACACAGTGATTTTTAACCTTCCTTAGTTTTAATCCTAGAAATCACTCAGTTAAAAATGTCATACTCCCATGGCAGAACAGGTCAGGCCTTTTATTCTTATGGGGGGAAAGGGGAGGGTTTGTTCCTTCATTCATTCATCTAACCCATCAACAAGCATGTATTGAGAAGATCTCGGGACACCTGAGTAGCTCAGTGGGTTAAGCATCTGCCTTCAGCTCAGGTCGTGACCTCAGGGTCCTAGGACTAAGCCCTGCATCGGGCTCCCTCTGCTCAGTGGGGAGCCTGCTTCTCCCTCTGCCTGCTGTTCCCCCTACTTGCCCCCTCTCTCTCTGACAAATAAATAAATCTAAAAAAAAAAAAAGAAAGAAAGAAAGAAAAAGAAAATCTCACAGCAGAAAGATTTGAGGCATAAAAGCAACGACAAGAAAAAATCAGAGATTATCCAAAAATAAACAAAAACTATGAAGGAACTGTATTTAAAAAAAATAGCCAATTATATGGAAAGAAGAAGAGGAATCTGGGAATAAAGAGTGACACAGTGGGATTAAGTACTGGAATGTTTAACACAGATCTTCCTCAATTTATGATGGGATCCCGTCCTGATAGTCCCGACATAAATTGCAAATATCATACGGTGACAATGCATTTAGTACACCTCACCAAACATCATAGTTTAGTTCAACCCACCTTAAACTTGCTCTGAACACTTACAGTTGTCTATGGGGGTTGGGCAAAATCTTCTAACACAAAGCCTCTTTGATAACGAAGTGTTGAGTATCTCGTGTAACTTACGGGAATACTTCACTGAAAGTGAAAAACCGGGGCTGTCTGGGGGCAGAGGGGTTGTGACTATACTGGTCATTTACACTCATGATCACGTGGCTGGCCGGGAGCTGCGCGGCCACTGCCCGGCATCGCAGGACAGGGTCCTACGTGCATCCCTAGCCTGGGAAAAGATCCAAATTCAAAACTCAAAGTATGATTTCTACTGAATGCGTATCAGTTTCCCACTATTGCAAAGTCAAAAAATCATGGAGTCAAACCATCGCTGTAAGTCAGGATTGTCTGTAAACAGGCTAATTCAACTTTATATTCATTTACATATTCACATATTTGATGTAATATTAAAAAATACACTAGTGGGATTTCTGCTTATGAGTTGGGCTTGGGTTTTGGCCAACCGACAAAATGACTCTCACGTTGAATCGGAAGCATAAATATATGAAAAGGGGAAGTGTCAATCCCTAGGATTGAGGTCAGGCTCAAATGAGCTACTGCTTAGAAAGCCTGCTTACACCAACATCTGGCACAGCTATGGTTTTTGCTCTGTTACACACGGTCTTAACTATATTAAAAAGTGTGTTATCAAGTCAGTACCCAAGAAATTCAGTATCACACATTTCTATGTGTGATAACATTCAGAAAGGATTAAAGGTAAAATTCAAAGGAACACTGAAATTGTCACATACATACATTAGTGAACATGGGTGAGAATATAAAAGGGTGTAAATAAATTTATTTACAGGAAAAAAATAAAAAATTTACACACAGATGTATGTTTAAGAATGTCTGCTCTAGCTTTCTTCATGAAACTGAAAACTTTGAAACAACTAAATGACCACAGAAGGGAACAGGTTAAATACCTCATGATTTATTCATAGGTTGGGATATGAAGAAGCCCTTAAAATCATGGTTTAGGAGACTAATGATGTGGGAAAATGTTCATGTTTTGTTTGATAAATAAATGAGGGTGTAACCACAATAAAAACAACCCTTTCATGATCACTGCTGAGGTTCTCTCCCTCCTTGTCAGCGGCACAGTTCCTGTGGCTGTCAAACTGAGGAGCGAGTTCAGAGGAGTAGGACGAACAATGACAGAGGTGGGCCAGGCACAGAGGAGGGATGTGCAACATGAATCAGAGTCAGAGACAATCAATCACCTGGAGAGGTATTGAGGGAGTTGAGGCAGGCAAGGAGAGGGCCGTGACCCTGGCACATGGGGACAAGGGCCAAACCCAAGTCCAGAGGCACACGTGCTCGGGCTCAGAACCTCGGGTGCCCTAGAGGGTGTGGAGAAAAGCAGACCTGCCCAGTCCCCCGGTGCATATCATCCTAAAGACCACGAGAAGACATCACAGAGGAAACAGGATGAATCTGACATTCTCAAAAAGATCGCTCGGAATGGGTAACCAGGGAATGGGGGACTAACTGACCCAGCGACGGCAGGGTGAATGCAGGCTGAGGTACAGGCATAAAAATAAAATGGATGTGAGAAGATCATAAACGATTCAGCATCTTCTGGATGAATGCCTGAAATGAGATCTATAATCACTGGTGAGTTTCAATTACTAACGTGTCATTAATTTCTTATCATCCAAGACCACACTGAAGTTGCGTGCTTGTCACGTGGTGAAGGACGCATTGTGAAACCCTGTGACTCACGTCCAGAAAGAAGGCCACTCACTTGAAGCTGGCCCAGTGGTAGGTCCTCATCTCTAGGAAGCGGCAGACGACCATGCCCAGCCAGATGCCGCCGCCGTTGCAGAGCAGGATGTCCAGGATGACCTGATCCCACCAGCACTCGGCGAAATTGGGCAGCAGGTGCATGAAGAACAGCTGAGAAACACAAGAGGCCACGGTTTTAAAAACAAAACTGGAAAACAACAGATTTCCCAGGAGTAACATATTCTGTCAGGGAGGGTTGTTGACGAGTCAGGTTTTCCTAGTGTATGAACAGAATAAATAAAAACAAGGTCCGTGATCAGGTTTGTGTTTTATGCTGTGGACGCTCTATGAATATCAAGAACCAAACAGTTTTTGTTTTTGTTTTTTTAAACATAGGGCTTTAAAGAAACGTAACTGCTCCAGAAAAAATACTACTGATGAATGACCTTGGCTAAGGAAGAGACAAGGATCTAGGAAGGGAAAAGGAGAAAAGTCTTTGTACCTGCCAACAGAGCGGGGGCATAATCCTCAAAATTAGCAGCTTGAGAGTTCAAGCTGCACATTTTAGTAATATCCCATAAATATTTAGGTAAAACAGCAAGGAAACTGCAAAAGTAAGAAGTTCAGGTTTTGATGACATCTTTTAGGAAACCGAAAGCTTAATGGGAAACATTTTGATAACTGATTCACAATCATGACCTTATTAAGTGCTTCTGATGTGCCAAGTGGGGAGGCAAAGTGAAGTCAAGATTCTTGCTCTCAAGGGCAGGAATTGGACGCTTATCCAGAACCACAAAATAAGGTAGGCTGTAGCAAATGTTTCCGTGGCGACATAATGGAGCATGGTGGGGACAAAACGGAGATTCCTCCTGACGGATGGCACCCAGAGCACGACGTACTGGACTGGGAACGTTAAGGACAGGAATGACTGGTTTCAAGAGAAGGAGATGAAGACTGAGGACATTCCAGAAAGGGGGAACACCAGGATGGGGGAGAAGGGGGGAGAAACCACCTATGGAAATAGTTTTGTCCAAAACAAAGAGTGGGTCAGCTGTGTCCAGAGCAGCCCACCCTGCTGCGTGAAGGCCCATTTTTAGAAGGTCTGAGATGACAAAGATAGCACCTGGGCATTTCTGGAAAGAGGTAATCCCATAATTACAAACCTTTCAGGGAATATGATCAATACTATGAAGTAAAACTGTTCATGGAAGCATTTCAGAGACTGTAAACACTGCAAGTATCTGAAGAGTCTGCCTGCTTAGCAGACTGGCCGGTGAGGAGACGGAGCGCAGCTGCTGCGTGCAAAGGCAGTGGGCTATGTCCCTCCCTGAGGCGAGCCAGGCACAGCCCCTGACATGTGATCCCAGGTTCCCAGCCACGAGAGACAGCACTAACTGTCCCTTTCGACAGGGAAGAGAGACACGTCAACAGAAGTCGATGACACATATTTGCAGACATGAGACTATGCATGGGACCAGGATGGGGAGGACAGGCTTCGTCCTCAAGAGCTTTCCTAGAAAGTGCCAGATCCTGGGGGTGAGGTGGCCACCCAGAGGAAAGACTGGAGCTCAGGGAGGGGGACACGGGAAAACAGAAGGAACGAGGACTGCCCATCCAGAGCGGAGCACTTCTGGAACCCAATCCGGGCTCACCTAATAAAGCAAGGTGCTGGGCTCTGGTCCCCTCGTCTGTCCAGACCTGAGGAGGAGGAGCTGGAGAGGGCTCAATTCATTCATTCACTCACTAGGAATCTGGGAAGCAACCACCACTTGTGAGACACGGTACCTGGGACTATGCAGACATGGGCCCTGCCCTCTTGAGGCCTAACACCTGGCAGCAAAGAGACACTATAAGCATCTAAAACACGATGAGTGTTTCAAAGGAGAAGGGCCAGGCGCTCCATTTCTCGGTGTACAAACTTGGAGCACGGCCAGCACAGGGAGCTGGGAAAGGAGGGAAGAACCTGCACGTGTGCTCTGGGGTAGGAAAAGACACGGAATCTTTGACACGAAGAAAGCAAAGATGGCTGCCGCACAGATAGCAGCATGGGGAGTGTCTTAAGCAGCTAGGGGAGGTGGGCCGTGACAGGTTAATATCGGCCTTACAGGCTGGTCCAGAAGTTTGGATTTTGGACAACTACTAAAGGGTTTTCAGTCGGCGAAGGACATAACCAGATTGAGAGGTCAAAAAGACCACTTTGGGAGGAGACAATGAAGGGAGGAGGTGAGTGGTTCATCCGAGAGAGGACAGGAGGTTAGAGACACGTCGAGCAGTGGCGTGAAAGACTTGGACGGAGCAGCTCTGCTTACGAGAGCGGAGAGGATGCTGAGGAGCAGGGAAAAAAGGCATGGGGCCATCTGTAGTGTGAGGGAGGAGAAGGAGTCAAGTCAAGAACGGCCCAGGGCCTGGCCAAAGGGTCCCACAGCGGTGAGGTCAGGAAGATGCCTGGAATTCCGAGGGGAACGTGGTGGGAGAGCAAGAACGTGGGCTGCGCACCTGGAATCAAGCACAGCTGGAGCCCGATCCTGGCTCACCTCATGAAGCAAGGCTCTGGTTCCTTCGTCTGTCTACTGGGTATAGACACCACCTTTTCAGTTTATGGTGATGATTTAGGATAATGCATATAGAGGGCTGGGTACTACTGTGGGTTGAATTGTGTCCCCTCAAAACCCTATGTTGAGCCCCTAACCTCATTCTTCATGACATGAATTCAATTTGGAAAGAGAGTTGCTGCAGAGGTCATTAGTAAAGATGAGGTCATCCTAGAATGGGGGGGACTTCTAATCCAGTGTGACTGGTGTCCTTGCAAAAAGAACACCACATGAATGCACACAGGGAAAGCCTCACTTGGAGGTAAAGGCAGAGATCACGATGATGCGTGTACAAGCCAAGAAATGCCGAAGATGGCCAGCAAGCCACAGAAGCCGAGAGCCCTGCACCAGATTCTCCTTCACAGCCCTCAAAGGACACCAATCCTGCCAATACCGAGAACTCAGATGTCTAGCCTCTGGGGCTATAAGAAGCACATTAACAGAAGCCTGATGTGACTGGCATGCTTCCCTAAGTTAGGGTCAAGACAACAGCTGGCATCAAGAAAGATACTGTACAGATGGCCAAATTTTACTCCCCATGAGTGATCAACTAAGAATAAAATCATAACTGAATGATAAATGAGTAAGTCCCCTAAATTTCATTTTCCTAATAGTTTTTTAAGACTATGTCTCTTTCAGGAGCACCTGGGTGGCTCAGTCAGTTAAGCATCTGCCTTTGGCTCAGGTTACGGTCCCAGGGTCCTGGGATCCAGCCCCACATTGGGTTCCCTGCTCAGCAGGAAGTCTGCTTCTCCACCCTGTGTCTGCTGCTCCCCCGCCTGTGTTCCCTCTGTCAAATAAATAAATAAAATCTTAAAAAAAAAAAAAAAAAGACTCTCTCTTATTCATTAAATGAGACAAACCTGACTGCTGAGATCAGAGCTATATTAGGAACCCGTTTTTCAGCTACAAAATATCCTGGAGGCTCCTGTAATTCCCAAACACCAAAATTCTATTTATCTCAAACTGGAAACTAGCTGGTGGGTAACCTACCTATTTATTTCTAAGTAGATCTCCTCATTACCTTGTATTTGTCTCACTGGGGGTTTTACTCCATTCTTTTTGCTTCATTTCATTTGTTTCTCTTTAAGACTTGTGAGGCAAGAGACACATTTTAAGTTAACGAGGAATTTGTGCCCTGCCCCCCACCAAAGGTATAAAGTATTCCTAGGGGATTGTTTAAACAGTTTGTACCAAGAGGCAGAGAATCGATGAAATGCCTGTTAATGGACAGACTGCCTTCCTCCTACAGGTAAACCATCTGGTCACAGCCCCTTCTTACCTCGGTTAGCTCCCAGGTAATACTGATTGTCCAGCAGAGACCATAACTACGGATCAACAAGGCCTTCATGGCCCAGCCCCAGAAATGTCCAAACGCAAATATATCAAAATGGCTGATAATTCTCTCCCAGGTGATAACATGGCAGTTGACAGCATACTCCTGTTCAAAATAAAAACGCAAATAATGAATGGATACTCTCATAATCAACTTCCTGTCCAGGATCCTGACAATAAATGAAAAGAACTGATATGACCTTGACAACTAATACCAGTCCTGCCCCCCATCCCCCGAAAACTTTAATAGTGGAACACCCTTTAGAAAAATGGACAAATATTAAAGTTTATGAATCAGAATTGCTTTGCTCTGAATTACAGAAGTTTGATTAAAATGGGAAGCAAAATAATTCCACAAAGGCTTATAGCCCATCTTAAAGAAGTGGAATCACACAGCCCAGGTCACCTGACTATAGCACAGCTATCTTAAAGCCAATGATAAGAACGTAAATAGAATCCCAATTAATAAAGAATTAAGTAGAATCCCAATAGGTTTATAAATTTAAAGACACATCTAAATATCATGTAGAGAATGAACCAGAATAGAAATGTAAAATATATTCAGTATTAAATGGCAGTGAAAATACTATGCATCAGAATGATGCGATGAAGCTAAGTAGAACTCAGAGAAAAACCTAAAGCCTTAAATATTTAGGTCAGAAAGGAGGAAAAGCTGAAGGATCCAATTTCAGAAATTAGAAGGAAACAGAATAAACCTCCCATCTCCAAATGTTATCACATGCTACACAATTTCAATATTTAAAAATGACAAAGCTGGGCACCTGGGTGGCTCAGTTGGTTAAGTGTCTGCCTTCAGCTCAGGTCATGATCCCAGGGTCCTGGGATTGAGCTCCCTGCTCATCTGGCTTCCTGCTCAGCAGCAGGAAGCCTGCTTCTCCCTCTGCCTGCTGCTCCCCCTGCTTGTGATCTCTCTCTCTCTCTAACAAATAAAACCTTTTAAAAATAAATAAATAATAAAAATGACAATGCTTTTAAGACTTTTGGTTTTGTTTCTAATACCTTTTTGTTTTTAATAGGACATTTTAAAGAAATTTTAGATCAACAACCTTATATTTTGGTATTTATTACGAAAGCAATTATCATATGACAATATAACATTTCTAGGGACCTCTACATTTGACATTCTTTCTTCCCAAAACTAATCTGACAGGATGGAGTAAGATTTGGAAAACAGCCACCTATTATCAGGCAGTTGAAAGTATTCTTGTAAAGTATTAATATTTTTAAATTCTAGAAATGATGTCTCCTAAGGGAACAGAAGAGGAATTTGGTATTCCTCTCTCTCTTCCAAAACCTGCCACCATCAGGTTTCTGAAGCCTTTCTCAGATCCATCCGGTACGTTTCTGTTTGTAAAGCTGAAAGGGCGTTTTTAAAAACTGCATTTTTTTTTTTCAGAAACGTTATGATAGGATATTACAATGTGTAAGTGGGAAAAGTGGAGAAAAGAGGAAAGGATCCAGCAGGGAGAAGTCAAGACAAGACTTTGAACCAACAACAAACTGCACTGTACTATGAGGAAAATTCTCCTCCTGAGTCTGGAAGCACACACGCCTGTCGCAGGCATCACAGACCCCGAGGCTGAAGCAGCCCCACAGCAGGTCAGGGAAGAGCCGCAAGGCCCTATCAACCCCATAATCCTTGGCCACCCTATCCTCTCCTTTACACTGGACACGCTGCACAGGGTCAGAAGAGAGGGCTGAGTTCTGTTTTTCCAAAGGCTGCTCTTCAGGTCATCGTGGGCTAAAGACGACCTTGGAGGCCCTTCTAATTCTCCATGAGAATATTTTGGGTTTCAACACACGCAAAGGCCCTTTGAAAGTCACAAAGAGCCAACTACAACTCAGCATTATAATCTTTAATGCACAGATTTGCCATTTGCCAATGGTCACACCAGGAAGACCTCGAGGTCCTGGTCGTGGGAGGGATGCAGGACACTGCAGTTAAATGCTGCTAGGGAGCCAGATGTGGGCACAACTCTGGGCAGCAAGGGGAAAGGGGCATTAAAGGAGGGCATCCCGGAGCCAGAGGGGCAAGGCGGGGAAGGTGTGGGCACACAAGTGAACAGCCGGTAAAGACAAATTGTGCCCACCTCCCAAGCGGTCATGGGGCTGATCCTGGCAGTCCCATAATCTCCCTTGCTTGCCCACCACTTAACTAAATACCAAGTCCTATTCATTTTGCAGGTTGGGTTGCTTGGTGATATAATCCCTGTTGCTCAAAAACCCAAGAAAATGGTGGGGGAAAATATACCTAGAATACCTTTCTCCCGATCTCTGTTTCACAAGGCTTCTTTGAGTGTCAAAGCACTGTCATTATTGTAACTGTGTACTTCAGGCATCGTCCAGAGGAAAAGGAGAGGTCCTGAAGTCAGAGGGATCTCACCAGCTTTGTGCTTTGAATGAGTATTCATCCATTTTTAATTCCCATTTCCTCCTTGACAAAATGGGGGATATTAATGCCTGGCACGCATGTGTGAGTCTTACACAGAATATATGTAAGTGCCTGGAAGAACAGCCAACCCACAGTCGGTAACTGCCACCACCCTCACCACACCTCTCACTGTCGCTGTCATCATGAGTAGATGCTCCAAGTCACCCCACGCCACTCTGTTCCCTAAAGTAGGAAACCTCCAGATTTTTCTTACTGAGACTTTTGAATAATCTTTGGCATTCTTATTTCTGCCTGTAGCATGTCCTTTATAAAAGTTAAAGTGTTGAAACACCAATGAAGAAGGAGCTGACCAATCTCAAATTCAGTAGAACAATCACTTCTTGGACCTTTTATTAGGTCCCTCTGTATTGTTTCTTTCTTTTTTTTTTAAGATTTTATTCATTTATTTTGAGAGAGAGAGAGAGACAGAACATGGGGTGGGGGAGAAGCAGAGAGAGAGAGAGAGAGAGAGAGAGAGAGAGAATCAGAGTCCCCACCGAGCAGGGAGCGCAACATGTGGCTCGATCCCAGCACCCTGGGATCATGACCTGAGCCGAAGGCAGATGCTAAACCAACTGAGCCACCCAGGCACCCCTTTCTACTCTTTCTTATGGAAGTTCCTGCCTGTGGCCCAGATGCTTGTTCTCCTTTTCTGAGCATTACTAGGTTTTTCCTTCAGTCTGTACCAAATGTCAGGTATTATTTAAGAAAAATAAAATTAAAAAGGAAAGAAACAGCATTAGAGTATAAAATAGTATCTTCCTTAAAACTGAAGTACAGAGTAGTTTTACCCAAGAATAAAATTATTTTTGTGGGTTTAAAAAAATAATGAACGAAGTGGCCTGGGTCATTCACATTGGTCCCTTTATAGTAAAGGATCATGACTTCGAGGCCCGAGTGGGGAGCAGAGGTGTTGAGGGTCACACTGCTAGAGGGCAGCCACCCCCATCACTGAGGACCTGCTGTGTGCAAGGCACCAATCTAGGCCTTGGAGATAAGGTTACTCTGCTTCACTCACAATAGAACTCCCCAAATAAGTACTATTATTTCACTTTACAAAGAAAGGAATAGGCTAGCTAACAAGCACATTGCCCAAGGTCATACAGCTAACAAGTGACAGAGGCAGAATTCACACCCAAGGCTGGCTGACAACCGGTCGCCCTCTTCCCACTATCCCCCTTTGCTTCAAGAGGGGATATCATTTCCCCAGACTCTATCACTCATGGAAACCATACACCTCACCCTCCCAGAGACCTAGCTTTTACATTATCTACATGGGAAATATGCGGAAATAACAATTTAGAACTTCATGTTAGTGAAGCTGACTATCTCATACCCACGAGTCTACCCATTTCTCTGAGAGACCACGGACAAGACCATACCATGACGTCGGCTTCCCTTGTGGCATATCGAAGATTTGGATCCAGCCAGTACATCAGGGATTTAACCTGATCGAAGTTCAGGAAGAGGAGGAACACCAGGAACAGGAAGTAGAGCACACTGAGTCCTGAGGGAAACAGAAACATTCTCACATTTAGGAGAGATCTGGGGGTCAGACGCACAACACACGTTAGGCTCAAGTCAGACATGGATACTGCAATGTCTGTCACTTCCTTTGATGAGGGAGTCTGATACACAGTCCTAATTCACACTGAGAGGGCCAGTAATACTGTCTGAGAAAACCAGGCTCGAATGGAATCTCGAAGGACTGGCAACATTCAGCAGAGGCAGGTGTGAAGGGGCCAGAGGTGGCCCAGGGCCACACATCCACATCTCAGATTCCACGTCAGCCCTGTGGGCATTATATTTCCGTTGCACCGCATCATAACTGGCGTCCTAAAAATCACCCCACGCCGTTTAAAAATAAAGTCAATTGTCTGAAAACAAAACAAACAAAAAAACCCAATCGTCTGTTTTTAAAACAGCAAAAGCCTTTTGGAAAGGTTTGGAAACCAACCACTGGTGACTACCACTACTCTTTCTCTCGAACCTGCTAGAATTAAAACACTGGTGCAGGTCACCTAGACACCGTGGTACAAATGACCTTGGATCACAGCACTCTGTGGGAACTTGGCTCAGTGCTAATCTCCCACGAGCTGTTCCAGAGGAGACAACGTCCACGGCTGGAATGAAATCCTCTGGAATACTGACAGCGCCAGCCTATCCAAAAGGGCCCCTCCCAGTCCTTGGGGAGCTTAGGGGTCTTGTGCACCACAGGGCGGACCTGGTTGTGCACCCCTGGGCCACAGGGCCACATGTTTTGTTAGTCTAAGGACCTCCTCACGTTTATTATCAGCTGCTTTTATACATTTTCATCTCACATGTCCCCCGCTACAACTTTTTATTATAATCCTTTCAAAATAATTATTTTAAGACAGAAAGAAACCATCTGTGTGGAGCAGGCTTCCGGATTTCATGGCTGAGCTTCAAAGTCCGCGAAACTCCAGACATAATATGCACAAATTTGTGCGTGCATGTGCACTGAGAAAGAGTTAGTTCTCATCAGATCCTCAAAGGGCTCCGTGATCACCAAGAGATCTCAAGTAAGAAATCAGCTGCTAATGACCAATATGGATCATTTGAAATAGGAAAAACTCAAATGTAGCCAACCAGCTGAAAATAACTCATAATTTCAAGCAGCAACATTAAGTCCATGAGACGTAAGTATGATGCAACCAGGACAATCTATTTTTAAAAATGGAAACGAGGGGCACCTGGGTGGCTCAGAGGGTTGAGCCTCTGCCTTTGGCTCAGGTTATGGTCCCAGGGTCCTGGGATCAAGCCCCACATTAGGTTCTCTCTGCTCAGCAGGGAGCCTGCTTCCCCCTCTTTCTCTGCCTACCTCTGCCTACCTGTGATCTCTCTCTCTCTGTCAAATAAAAAAGTAAATAAAATCTTAAAAAAAAAAAAAAAAAAGGAAATGAATCACGCCACTTTTCTGCGAAAAATCCTCCCGGGACTTCCCACCACCCTTCCTGTCTGCGCTCTTTACTGGACCGCAAGCCCAGTGGGGCTCTGTCCCTGCCCAACTCTGGCCTCTTTCTCACTACTCCCCTAGGGCCTGCTCTGCTCCACCACATGGGCCTGCAACACACCATGCTCTTTCTGGCTAGGGATGACTTTAGTAGCCTTTCCCTTTGCTTGGCTTCTGGGGACCTCAATCCTTGCCAGACCCTACTTTGCAAGCCCATTTCCAGGAAGCATCCTTCCTTGCCTGTGCACGTGAAAGCAGTCACTCGATCAACATCACCCCATATGGCTTTACTTAACTTCCGAACACTCGACGGCATGGGATATTTTTGATTATTGATTTAATAGTGTGTTTACGATAGGTGTCCTCTCTCCCAGGGGGAGCCTCCTGTCTGTCTGGCCCTCCCCTGCAGCCTTGGTGCACAGCCCTCCACACATGGGCGCTCAGTGAACACATGCTAAAGGAAGGAAGTCAGCTCATTCAAAGGGACTCACCTATGATCTCTGAAAGTTGAAAAAAAAAACAGGTGACCTTGAGCAAAATACCCATTTTTAGGGTCCTTCTGGTAACATTACATTTTCTGAACCTAAAATAATGGACTTAATGTCTTATTTAGGCAAGACAAAGCCAAGAGCCAACACTTGAAAGATGCGTTTTAAGTCCATGCAGGGGATTTGACAATATGTGGACTCAAAATCACGTAAAAACAAGACATCCAATATTCATGGATATGCTTATTGCTAACCCTTGTTGAAAAATCAGGGCTCTCTGTCTAAAGGCTTCACCCTTTCCAGGATCATTCCCATCCATGATTCAGGAGAAGCTGGATTTTCAGTCAGTTCTGGATGCTGCCACAGCAAACATGCTCACAGGTCCCGTGAAGAGCAACATCAAGATACATGAAGAAGGACAAGCCGCGTGCCCTCATGTCAGACCCCGTGCATGTTAAGAGACAAGAGCATAGGCGGGGGGTGAATAGAGTTGGAACAGCTCACAGGCATGAGAATCTAAAGTTATCACCTGTATGTCTGCTTTGCATCAAAGAATTTTCATAAAAATTTGTATGAGGAACACCGAAAAGTAAAAGGTTATTAAGTTCTACTGTAAAACTGCTATAATGATGTACAGAAAGGGGATTTTAAATAGAATCTACTTCTAAATCTACTAATGGGTAACTCACCAAAAACCATTCTCCACAAGGCCGGATGAGGTCGAGTAAATGGGCCTGCAGAGAGAAAACGTACAGTTAGAAAAAAACTGGTTTCAAAGTAAAACTAAAAGCAAATTGCTGATCTCTACAGAGATTAAAAAAAAAAAAAAAGGCTCTCTACTGTCAAAATTTTTTTCCACATAAATATTTTGAGATCAAGTCTAGGTTGAAATGTTTTATTCAAACTGTAGCAACTATTACCACAACTGCAACAGGTACCAGTCTCCACAACAGACCTTTGTTTTCCAAGCTTTGTCTTTAGGATTCAGACCCTTGTTTCCCAGGGAAACAATGTTACAACAGTAAGCAGGTTACCAGGCCAGCCTGTGAAGAGTTCTTAAAACATACCTAAGTTTAACAAGTTTAACAGGTTTAACAAGTGAAATCTCCCAGCCCAGCCACTGTGTGTGTGTGTGTGTGTGTGTGTGTGTGTGAGAGAGAGAGAGAGAGAGAGAGAGAGAGAGACAGACAGACAGACATAGAGAGAGAGACAGAGAGACAGAGAGATGGCAGGGTAGACGCTCTGGAAATTAAACAGGAGAAACACTAATTTGAGAACTTGTGAGGCGGGGTAGGAAACTGAAAATAAATCCTTTGAGCACTGGAACGTGCTAGTGCAGTGGCTTTTGATCATGAACCGTGGTAACAAAATACCTCTGACATGGCAACCCCGACCAGATGCCCAGATGCAGCTTCCACACCATGAAAACACAGGCTTCACAGGACAAAACTCACGCTGACTACAAGTGACCCATCAATACTTTCTCTCCTTGTGTATCTCTTTAAAAACAAAACAAAACAAAGGAGAAGGAAGCAAGCAAGCCAGGCCTCCATCTACTAAACTGATAAACCATCAAGGGAAAAATTACAGTTCCCGAATACTGCACACTGCTCTCATGGGCACTTGACCTATTTGGGCTGCCCACCCCTGTGGGACAACAGCCTACCTACACACTCCTGGAGGATCTCCAACATCAGGATCCCATGTCTCCTGGGGAGATGCCGGAGCTGGCTGCCCAGCCCCCTTCCCAACCGGGACTTAGCCTGTGCCAGACTTGATTTCGGAAGCTGCCAACACAGACCTAAGTATGCAGAGCTCTCCTCCACTTCCCCCTCTCCCTCTGCTGGACCAGCACGGACAGTAGCAGGGAGGTGGCACTGGTGATCGGGCCAGTTCCCTGCAGAGGGGACAGTGGGACAGACTACAGCCAGTGCTCACTGGGGTTCCCTCAACAGACCAGTTCTGGGTGACCTGCCAGTTCCTAGAAGCTTAGCCTGGGACCCAGCCTCCTAACCAACCCCTCCCCCACCCCGCCCACTTTCCAGTCCTCCAGCCAACACCCTGCAAGTCTTTTTAATCAGCAATCAGCATCCGGTGTTGGCAACCTGGAATCCTGTCTGCAGGAAACATACCATTGTAATTTTTATTCTAGACCCATCCTCAATCACCTACCTCATCTTAAAAAGACGACTTTGAAACATATTTTAACTGCTTTCTTTTGATGGATCAGGTTCAAAGTAGGGAAATCAGTTACAAGTATCCCCTGCCATCCAATCTAGTCAGTTCTTGAGCCTAGAGTGAGTGTGGTTCGTGCGGTCCGCTTTGTCCAAATTTATATGGTGTCTGAGTTGTAAAATGGCAAGGAGTGAGGGCTCAGATTGAGGGATTTAAATAAAGCATCTCCCAATCTGTTCCACTTCTACGTTCTGGTAGTGCAGGCTCACACAGCAAGGAATCCGTGTTTTCTCTCTAACCAGATGCTTTTTTTTCTCAGAAAGGCACAGTGAGGCACAGAAACCAGGGTCCCCTTCCAGGTAACAACACGGCTAACTTTCTTCAAGTCACTGGAAAACGGATGGCTAAAATTGTCTTTTAATTTCCTCTTCCCAATGCTCTCGTCACCACTGTTTGTTACCACGAGTGGCTTCTGTGTTACGGTAGCTGCCCAGTGTGCAAGTGTCATGTCATCCAAACCCCTGCATTCACCTCCTAGACAGAACACGGGACCCCAGCTTTCTCTAGGCTTCCTCTTACGAGGTGAAACTCGAAAACGGTATGATTCTTTGGCTTGCAACACAATTCCATGCCCAATCAACACTCAGAATCCCATAAGTCAAGGTCTTCTCAAGAGGAATCACTATTATAATAGTACTTTGCTGGGCACTTAGCACGAGGCAGATGGGGGGGAGACACCTCCCCACCCCCACTGTCTCCTCGTTGTCGTGACAGACTGGCGGTGAGAGGGTATCACTGCATCCCTTTTACCGCTCAGGACACTGAGGTCCAAGTACTTTGCAAGGTCACACGGCCCACAGGACCCCACCTCTGGTCTGAGAAGACTTCGTGCTTTCTGATCCATTCAGTCATGCCTGGGCCAACTCAGGAGGACAGAGTGGGGGTGGTGGGTGGGGAGACCTCGAGGACTTAACCAGGACGGTCTCAGGGCCAGGAGAACAAGGGGAGAGAAGCAAGCTAGTGAGTGGTGTTTAGAGGTGCTGCCATGTGGAACTGGTAAGCAAGGTCAGGAAAGACAAGGGGCAGGACGGGGAACTGATGTAAGGTCCCTCATATCAACTAATAGAAGGGCCTCCAAGGTCGTCTTTAGCCCACGATGACCTGAAGAGCAGCCTTCGGAAAATAGAACTCAGCCCTCTCTTCCGACCCTGTGCAGCGTGTCCAGTGTAAATAAGAGGATAGGGTGGCTGAGGAATCTGGGGTTGACGGGGCCTTGCGGCTCTTCCCTGACCTGCTGTGGGGCTGCTTTAGCCTCGGGGTATTTCCCTCCGTCCGTCTGTGATACCTGCGACAGGCGTGTGTGGTTCCAGACTTGGGTGGAGAATTTTCCTCTTACTATAGTGCAGTCTGTTGTTGGTTCTAAGTCTTATCTTGACTTCTCCCTATTGAATCTTCTCTTTTCTCCACATTTCCCACTTATATTTCATAACATTATATCACAATGGTTCTGAAAAAATACCATTTTTTTTTCTTTTTATGTTCAGTTAGCCAACATACAGTACCTCATTAGTTTTCGATGTAGTGTTCCATGAATACAAGTTTTTTAAAATGTCCTTTGGGGCGCCTCAGTGGCTCAGTCGGTTAAGCATCTGATCTTGGGTTTCAGTTCAGGTCATGGTCTTAGAGTCTTGGGTCGAGCCCCGCCTCCGGCTCCCTACTCAGCAAGGAGCCTGCTTCTCCCTCTCCTTCTATCCCTCCTCCTACTTGTGCTCTCTCTCTCTCCCTCTCAAATAAATAAAATCTTAAAAAAAAAAATTATAATGTCCTGTAGCTTTGCAAATTGAAATGTACTGGATGGATCTAGGAAAGGCTTCAGCAATCTGACATAGTATGTTTCAGAGACCGAGCTGCTCTACCCTGAACCAGGTAGGTGGGAAGCCTTGGTGCCTTTTGTTACAAAAGGTGTAGATAAGGCCCTGAAATTTAAGGTGAGACTTTCAGCAGCTACCTGCAAAACCCATTCCAGGCTTTATTTCAGTCATCACATCTGCCCCCTTCTCCCTGAAAAGTCACTCTAAATGTTTTGGTGCAGTATTTCAAGGAGTACATTCTAGCAGCATTACTCACTAAGATTACCAACTTTACAATCGAAGAAGGGAATACGGCTAAAAATATTACTTGTATCATTTTGCTTTTTAAAACAAATGGAGAGGGGAGCCTGGGTGGCTCAGTGGGTTAAAGCCTCTGCCTTTGGCTTGGGTCGTGGTCCCAGGCTCCTGGGATGGAGCCCCACATCGGGCTCTCTGCTCAGCAGGGAGCCTCCTTCCCCGCCCCCGCCTGCCTCTCTGCCTACTTGTGATTTCTGTCTAAAAAATAAATAAATTCTTTTAAAACAAATGGAGGGAAGTGGCCGGTGTGTTTTTCCCTGTCAGAAACCTTGACACTGATGCTCGCCAGATCACCCACACTTGACTGCCCCGGTCAGGTCACGTTTGGACCTGTGCTTCCCACAGCACTCATCTGCCTGGGCATGTTCCCACTGCCCAGCCTTTCCCGAACATTCATGTTAACAGATCCCGCTTCCCAGCAGACTACTTTCTCAGCAGGCAGCCCAGGGCAGGGCGCCTTGTCCTCCTCTGCCCCATGTTCAGGTCCAGAAGTCAGGGGCACTCTGTCTCAGGGTCTGCAGCTTTTCTAGGCTTTATTTTGTACTTGAGAATAGCTGCGTGCAAGAACAGCTCTTCTTGATCACGTGGGAGGCACGGGGAAGGGCTTCTCCAGGCGGCCACGGAGAACCAGTGCTGGTTTGTTCTGGGCTGGGTTTTCTTCCCGGACCATGCTTAAACACGGCTCGGTTTACTTTATCAGTCCCTCCATCTAGGACACGTTAATTTTCAATCAGATATTAAGAGTGAGTTTGATTTCAAAGGAAACAGAAATCAAATGGCTTTGCCATGACAAGAGCTAGCACTTCAAAAACTGACTCAGAAATTAGAACGTAAGATCACACACAAAAAATAAGAATAAAAAAAAAATTTAAAAAGCAAATAAGATCACAGCTTGACTTGCCAGCAGCCTGTCATGATTCCCATGAATAACTAAGTTCAAGGGACAGAACTTCCAAAAGCTACGGGTCTGTGCCCTTTTCGTCTGCTTCTTCCCTTGATTGTCACTGTTTTTTTAGCTTTGATGAGGTGTGATTAACAATGATTATTACTATTTGCAAGTTTAAATTCCTCTAGGAAAAACCTAGAAAATGATCTTTAAGCAAATTTCAAACCTAAGAAAGAATTTTTTTTAAGAAAAAGTGGAGTGGGAGACAGGATGGGGGAAGGACAGGCATTTTGTTTCAAACTTGGGGGACAGCAATCTTCCGGATCACCTTCAAACCTCACGGAGATGTGACTAACACTATCTTAGCTCAGAGAAGTCAAATGAGGCCAAAGGACACACCGAAGGATGTTATCGGGAAAATCAAGACATACTAGTATTTCACTCTCCTCAAAATACCTTAAAGAAGTGCTGAATGGTGTTCCTCTTGCAGACAAGGAATGGAAAA